TTGCAAGTACAGTAGAGTTGAGACAGGAACGTGTGGAGAGCAGAGAGAGGAACAGGGTGAGCAAAGGAATCAAACTCAGGTAGTCCTGTGCACCTCAGTACTATATGTTGGTGCACTTATCACTTTGCTATTGGTACTGATCTCTTGAAAATGTTCAACCAGATTACAGAGGGTGTTAATTTGCTAAATGAAAGCCTTTCATAAATAAAATCACATTACAGCCTGGACATCTACTGATTTCTGTAAGGATCAGGAAACACCAAGCCAACGGTTGGCCGTTAGGCTTTGTTAGTCTGGAAGTCAGTGTTGGCCAGGCTAGTTGGTTTAGTGTGTTCCTCACGTCGCCTCTCGCCGAGTTAATGTCAGAGCTTGATGGCCTGATTCAGCGTGTCGAATTGGCATTGGCTGTTGGCTGAAGGATTGTGCTCTGATTGGTTAGTAAAGAATCAGAGTACAAGTGTAAAGTAGTGAAGTGACGAAGTAAGTAAACAGTTCAAGTCAAGGAGCACAATGAGGCCAGCTGTCATTTCACTACATTTCTCAAATATTTGCAAATGATATGGATTATTAGATTATCAGACATTTTTGCAATAGCGAATCCCTCTGTGGTGAGTAACAATTACTTGGATAATGGTACTAAAAGCTGCTTTGTTTATGCTTTGCCTGCGCACATTTTGGTCTCCCGTTGTGAACGAGAAAACAGATATTGACATCCATATGTGCAGAAAGACACATCCTCCCATGCAGGTGCAGAACGCACTCTCAGTTCAGTTGGCTTTCATCCATTTGGTGTGTTCATTCACAGCTTTTTGGTCCAGACGGAACCAGACGCAAGTTTTCATTGTACTGTAGATAGCTGTTTGTTATAGTTGTGGAGACCATAAAAAATCATTAGAATTGCCGAATACTGTATGCCACAAATCACAAAATTGTTGCAGTGACTTTTGTAATAAAATAATCTTTTTCAAATTTAGTTTTTTCAAATGTAAAAATATGTCCTCAACTCTTGTATATTTACAGTAGCTGTATACCATTAGCTTTATCCATTACTTTTTTAGGCTAAAGTTTAAAGGCTTGGCTTTGACCAGATTTGCACTCTATTGCACTATTTTGGCCTGTTCTTGTTTTTCAACTGACTTGTTGTCCAAAAATACTTAGTTGTGGTCAGCGCCAATAGCCTAGTGGTTAAGTGCATTGACATATAGCAACATTGTGTTCACGAGTTCAATTCTGGCTCGAGGTCCTTTACTGACCCTCTCCCTCTCTCTGTTCCCAATACTTTCCTGTCTGTAACCTGCATCCTATTCAAATTAAGGGTGAAAAAACAAAAAATAAATATAGAAAAAAAGTGCAAATGCAGAGCGACTTTCTTGAGCTACAGCCAAGACAACAGAAGAGCTCACGTAATCCTCTCTCAGCTGGCTCAGAGGCCAGTTGTATTCTACTTGCTGTAAACTTACACAGACCTGTTTGCAGCAGGTCGACCCCCAGAGCGACAGACAGCTCTATGGCAGTGAAAACTATGTCTTCTCAGCAAAGATTTCACTGATAATTCACTCAAACAGCAGTTTGTTGTGTTGTGGAATTGCCACAGTAAAATCATTACTACATTCAGCAGTCAAGTATAGTATCACAATCTGGCCAAATCTTCCAGGAGAATCTACATTTTTATATCAGCTAAATATATCCATAATCAAAACTGTATTCCTATGATACTGCTCATGTACAGTATGACCCATTCTTTCATTTATGTCTATCAATAGATTTTACTTTTATTTATGCAGCCTTACATAATGTCACCCTCCTCAGGTTGGAAAGTTTCTCTTTTATGTAGGTTAGCAGATGCACAAGTCTAACTCCTCTTCAAGTCTTCTTGACTTATCCGAGAAGAGCATGGAGAAACCCGACAATCTCCCTCTGTCCACAGGGAGTAATGAACATAATGAGTGGAAGAATGTTGGGAGTAACTGTGCTCTCTTGCTAAAATGCTTCATAAGTTCCCTTTGGAGAAGAAACAATAAAACATTTACTCCCCTCAGAATGATTCACTACAGCTGTCATCCAGACTACGCAGACACGACTGGTCTGGATGTCCAGCTCAGGTCATGTGTAACTGAAGCAGATTACCAAAGCACACAATGGTTGCGCTCATCTGGCAGGTTTGGAGCTGGAAATGTTTTCACACATATGAGAGTTCCTGAAAAACAGCTGACAGCCTCAAATGAGTTCATGTGAGTTAGTAAGGGTGAGTCGGTGCAAAGTAGGAGTTTACAGATGTGCGAGTAAACCGTTAACCTCAGAGAGTAAGCATTGTGTTAACACTGCCCTGCTCAGTGTAACTGATAAACAGCTGATAGCAGGGCTGAAGTGAATGCTCTATTTAGAGGGGATGCTTTAATACTGCAGTGGGTTTAAATGAGGGCAAGATAATGTGATGCTGACGGGGGGTTCATTTAGCAGAGTTGATGACCAGTAATGTCAGAATACCACATGGTTTTCATTTCAGTCTTCATTACAGACTCACTGTAAAACATGCCTATTGTAGCATTTTTAGCAGTGAGTGCAATAAACAGAGTTTGGAAATTAAATATCTGGTGGATAATGCAGAAATATAACAGCAAACCACATAAAATAAGTCTAATAGTGTAAACTAAAAAAATAAATATTTTTTTAACTTGTTTAACTGTCAATCTGCATTGCAAGTGTTGTACCGGGCGAGTTACTGAGCAAGTTTACTACAGATACATCATACATTCATATGTGTAGAGCTGGTAATGTCATGCAAAAATCTAAATATTTAATCATGGATGATTGGTGATAGTGTTTTAATGTACTGATATTAGTGTCCATCTCTGGTATTTGTTTGAGTTACGTAATAGTTTTCCAGTGAGCCTGCGTTGAACAAAAATAAGTATCATTAAAGTGTTGATTGAAAGACTTTTATATGTTTTTCTCTGATAGTTTATAACACATAAATCACATGCAGTGTTGCCAGATTGGGCGTTTTCCCACCCAACTGTACGGTTTTAAATTTAATTGTGTTGGTAAAAAAAAAGAATTGGCGGGTTGACCAAATTTGTGCAGTTTTGATACGTAACGTTTATATGCAACTTAGTCAACAAATCATAACTGTGTGCTTCTACTCTATTCAGTTAGTAGCGATCAGTGCATAGCGCTAACCGTTTAAGCCCACCCACAAGAGAAGGTTGTATCAAAATCTGACTGCTTAGACAAATCTGACTCCCCTTCGCGTGCATGCGCATCACACAGCACCTGCAGTTAAAGTCACGCCGATTTATCATGACACTTTTATGGATCATTTTTTCTGCGATTGACTGCAAGAACAAACAGAAGCGTTGTCTGATTGACAAGCAGCCCATGATTTTGTTAAAAAGAATGCAAAACGCCAAATGAGCTAATTTATACCCCATTTCGAAAGTAAAACATACTCTAATTGGTAGTGTAATTTACAGAACGTTAAGTGCAATGTGTGGGTGAGAAGGGGAAGTGTTTCGATGTGATCCAGTTATGTTGTGGTTTGTGCTGTATGCTTACAAATTAAGACAGTTAAAGTAACTAGGTTAATTTTGATTTAAATCAATTTAAATTAGGGCAGCGCGGTGGCACAGTAGGTAAGGCTGTCATCTCACAGCAAGAAGGTCGCTGGTTCGAGCCTTGGCTGGTTCAGTTGGCATTTCTGTTTGGAGTTTGCATGTTCTCCCGGTGTTTGCGTGGGTTTTCTCCGAATGCTCTGGTTTCCCCCACAGTCCAAAGACATGTGCTATAGGTGAATTGAGTAAGCTAAATTGTCCGTAGTGTATGTGTGTGGATGAGAGTGAATGGGTGTTTCGCAGAGATGGTTTGCAGCTGGAAGGGCATCCGCTGCGTAAACATGTGCAGCGTAAAACTATAGACAAGTTGGCGGTTCATTCTGCTGTGGCGAGCCCTGATTAATAAAGGAACTAATGCGAAAACAAAATGAATGAATAAATTAAAATTAAATTAAAAATTAATCTAATATTTTGGCCATTTTTTTGTGCATTTTGGCTGATTTTGGACAGCTTTTGGAATGGAAAAGGTCAGCCATATCTGGAAACACTGTTCACATGAGGTCACATTTATGGTGCTTTTTCTTTTTTGTTATTTTTGAAGCTTTACAGCACCCATCCTTAATAAAGTTAACAGCATTAAAAAGAGTGGCCAAGATATTTTTTTCATTATGTGTCTCATAACAGTAATAAATTCATAGATTCAACGAGAGGCTGAGTATATAGTAATTTTTTTTCTTTTTTTTTTGTATAAACTATTACAGTCTGTTTGGCTTGTCAGACATGCCAGGATGTGATCTTGATTTTGCGTAAGATCAGCATCAAGATACTATTTTTAATACAAAACACTCCAAATGTTCAATGAGATACGTATATTATTAGCAGAACTTAACTTATATCTTTGCTGAATCAGAGCACACATTCCTACTCTCAGTGCTAATGCAAACTATAGCAGTAGCTTCAAGGCAGGCCTGACCCATGACATTAACAACACTTATAAACATGATGGGAAGCCCATGGCAAGTCCAGGTTAACAGGAGAGCCTGCTCTTGTTGCAGCCTGCCCATTACTCTGTGAGACACAAGACATAGTTCAGCATCTAACCAAGCTAAATACACAAATATGTGTTCAGATGTTACCCCAATTCAAGCTCTTTTTGTTTTATTACATCATCCCATTGTGCATTTGTTTCCCCACAAACACATGATTAAAACAGCATATTTATGCGTATGGAGCCTACCTTTAGATTTAAAAGCTGTGATTACAATGTCAGCGTAAATCATGTCTAAATTGGTTTGATTATTGGGTAAGTAAATTGCAGTCGCCTGTCTGGTGTGCAGTTTTGTTTCATGTTGCTAACCATCTTGATATGATTACCACCAGATACATTAGCCTGATGATTCTCTGCTTCTCATGCTGCCCTCTATGGGGGAAGCGCGCGTTACACCTTACCTGTTTAGTGAAGAGGATCGCCGTATCCCAGTACTCCGGATGCTTGTCATTGTTTTTGTTCAGCTTCTTCTGCCAGGTGCAGAAGTTACGCAGGGTCATCGCCGCGTTCCCGGAAACCTTGGGTCCTTTCTCTTCCTCGTTAATCACCATAAACTTGACAACCACGATGTTGATGGAGTTGAGAATGGTGGGGTGCTTGTAAAGCTTCGCCGCCACAGACATTAAGGTCAGCACATAATGCTTGAGGTCGTCACCGTGGAATTTGGCCATGGATTCATCGGCCACCACTAATGTCTCTACATAACGCGGAATGGAGACGAATCTTTTCGAGCGGTTTCTCAGAAATGACATAGTGACGTTATTCATGTGTTGTTCCTTCAGGTGCTTAAACTTCGCTAGGGACTGTGCAACGGTTTGAGTCGCATTGCTGTCCACGCCGCACCTTGACGTGGAGTTTCCACTCAGATCGGCGTTAGATCTGCGTCTGATGAGATGCGCGGCTTCGTTGTCCCGGTCGGTATTGTTAGAAGCCGGCTTGATGAAATATTCCCAGCCGTCGTATCCGAATGCGCCCTGGAGACCCTTGCACAAGCTGAGCGCAGCGTAGGAATAGGGATCAGAATTCACCTCACCGGCATAAAAACACCGGCTCAGATCTTCACCGTGCGCGGAATTGTGCGCAGCTGAGTCTGTGCGCGCTGAGAAACCTGGAGCAATGAAGCTGGAGTCCGACCTCAATTCGAGTACAAAATCTTGTTCAAACGCACTTATTTTAAATACAGCCTTGCGCGGCAAAATACTGTCCTCATCATCGACTAAACTGTTCTTTACATGATCCATTCTGATGGGCACGCATAACTGGCTCTGCATTGAATTCACAATTCTCCACTGAGCGTAGAACACGTTTACAAGAAGAACTGACCTTAGCAACAAAAACATGTTTATGCGCTTGAAATGGGTTTGACTTGTGAAGCGCAAATTGACACAGTGAGATGTGACTGCAAGAATAATCCAGGATGCTGCTGCACTACAATGTTGCCTTTGCGCGTCCACAAAGTGTGAAATCCGCCGGTCTGTTCTCCATCTCTCTCTTGTACCTGTATATTGAAGCGGTTGTGTTCATCTGTCGGCTTTATGCTCGCGCGTCATGTGTAAACATCTCGCGCTTGTAATCAGAAGATTTTGGGGAGGTGCTCGAGTGCGCTCATTGGGTATTCCTCTCAGTTCAAGGTTAAGCCCGCAACTACTTGTGGCTTTTTGCGCTCCGCATCATCAGCCTGCAGCGCTCCAAGAGCCGGGTTTCCCTCCCACTCATTCACAGCATCCAACAGTGACTTGTATGAAGTTCCACATGGGAGGATAGCACTTGGATTTCTTAGGCATAATTTACTGCAAACATTTTTATATGCATAGGATGTACATTTGTAGCCTATAAAAATAAATACATTATTATTATTATTAATAATAATACAGTTTATATTTACAGTAAGTGTACTCACAGCACATCCAGTATTTTAAACTGCTCATCAAAATATAGACTATACCTTATTGTGTTTTTTTTTTCTGGATGCTACAGCTGATGTTGAATAGAATAAGCCTATATGTGACTTTGTACTATACACAAATGCCATTATGTGACAAGAAGTCATGTTTAGAAACATTTATTTATGCTGAGAATTAAATTTAATACGATTTTGCAGAGACTGAGGGTGAATAAACAGCTGCTTTTTATATTTTTTAAATATCCCGATTGGTAATAAGCATTATTTAAGGCTAGCTATGGTTAAGCAAGTTACGGATCAAACGGATTAAAAAACATGCTAAAGATATAAAGTCTTAGCTGTGTCTTTATCAGGACTTGTGAATCTATAAACAGGTCAGTTTGATATTCTTCAAGGGGCCCTATAGTTATGCACAGGTGTCGACCTCTTGTGGTAAAAGGTTTACAATACAACTTTCTAAATATTAGAAAAACATTAAATATTGAATGATTATTTAAAATAAACGGTTTTTTTTATTATAAAACAAATAGTTTTAGTACTAGACAATGTTTTTGTTTCTATACGATCTCTTGTTAAGTTAATACGTTGGCTAAAAACGTCTAGGTCACACAACACGCTAGTCTAAAATGTCTACAATGATACAATACTGCCTCTCAGCGGTGCTCTTGAAATCCAACTGAAATCAGCCATACAGTGAGAAAACTCACTGCTTATGTTGAACAGCCTGTTGTATTTCCCTTTATTCAGTATTAAATTATTATTCCATTTTTCCTGCGTTTATGTGTGCAGTTTTTATGTTTTATTTAGTACCACCTAAAATAACAACTTTCACAAACACATTTCACTTCAGTGTGCACTCCAAAAAAAGTTTCGGAACATTCGCATCATTTATTTTGTTTTTGGGTTTGCTCACTTCCAGGCTTTTCAGTGTCACCTTCTGCTCTCTAGGTATGATGAAGGCATCATTTGCTCCTGGGTACACCGCGTTTCTTCCAAGATTTCCACTGGTTAAGCACGCGCTTTCTAGCACCTACATGGTTGACACTCAACACATACTTCCAGTGTCCTGCAGCATTCCAGCCGGCTGTTATAATAATAGCTGTAAGTAATACCCGCAGTAGTGAAAAGGGGGCGTGCCGGTGGCCCCATTGGATCAAACCAGAGTTTTTTCCCCTTTGCTTTGGCGCACGAGGGGGAGGAGAGAGGATGAATATCAAAAATAAACCGCGTACGCTGGAGAAGCCCAAGACTGTATAAATACCAGCGACGCGGACATTCTTCTCTTATACCGTGAGCCGGCTGTTTTATGTACTCTGCGGGCAAAATTAAAGATTTTTATTAAGTCAGAATTAATTTTAGTCTTTCTCCGGATCAGGTTCATCTTCATCTTTGTTTTAAAACAGTAGTTTGACCGTGCGCCCAGTGCTTTTTATTTCCTAACACACAATTTGGGATATTTCCGAATTCACGATTAAAATGGTATCCACAATTGTTTATGTTTTCTTCTTAGTAAATCTTATGTCTCAGTTTGCTTTGTGTGAGCTGAACGAGGAAGAAGAGACTGTGTTAGTAAACCGTACATTTAGGAAAGGTCTTTTTTGGAGAAGTGAAGAGAGACAGCATTTTAAGCTCAGTGCGTTTGGCCACCTTTTCCTGCTTGACCTGTCTCCGGACAGCAAGTTCGTGTCTCCAGTTTTAAACGTCCAGCGCATTAAAGCAAAGAATCTCCGCTCTGTCCTGGACGCCTCCAGGAGCGGGGGTGCTCTCAGGGATGCCACCCTTTACCCAGACAGCGGTGCGGACCTCAGAGACTGCTTCTACACCGGCACGGTAAACTCTGAAAAGGAATCTGTAGTTGCTGTCAGCTTGTGCCACGGCATCCACGGCACCTTCATAACACAAGGGGTCGAGTACTTTATTCACCCTAAAGCAAGTGTCCAGACCACCGGGAAACATTTTCCGCAGGTGCACGTCATCAAGAGGAGAGCTGTTTCCAACAGTCGCACAGCGTCTTTGGTCTTTGATCAAATGAAAGTTGACAGTCTTGTGAAAGAGAGCAAACTGAACTCCAGTGAAGATGAAGACAGCAACATGAGACGCGCAAAAAGATTCGTGTCCGCTGCGAGATACATCGAGACACTGGTAGTGGCCGACGCGTCCATGACACGGTTCTATGGGGATGAGATAAAGGTGAGTTAAGGGTCAGGGGAAATGGTTAATGGTTGTTATTAGTTATGCGCCTAACTTTATTCAACGCGTTTTTCAGTCATCTGATTCATTCTGAAAATGTTAACAATTCCTGAATCGACTGCTAATCATTTGAGAGGCTTTAAAACCTGCTGTAACAAGTGTAGACAGTATCCTTTATTATTATTATTATTATTATTATTATTATTGTTGTTGTTGTTGTTGTTGTTGTTTTTGTTGTTGTTATTGGTGTAGACCAATTTCATATCAAATAATGGTAAAAGTGATAATATTAAATATCTGTAAAAATGTTTTCTATATTTATATTAAAACCTAACTCTGCCAAAAAAGTGGCATAATCTACTGTAACATTCCTGAGCACGTGCGTAAAACTCGGCGTGAACGTGTAAAACCGAACTTGCCATCCGTATTGAGGGGTATTTATGTCAATATACAATGCTTTTGTAATTAGCACGGATGCTGGAGAAAAGAACTGGCTTTTTGATAGTCACGACTTCTCGCAAAAGGAAGCTGATTTGTTGGATATTGCTTGGAGCGACAGTGTTTTGGAAAGTGAAAGCTTGGTGTTTGCGTTTTTCTCTGTGGTCGCTTGCAGCAGGGTTTCTCACGGGGGATGAAAAAACTCGAAATGGAATTGAGTGGAGTTACAGAACTCCTATTAATCAACGGGGGCGATCAGAGAGGAGGAGAGCGCCGGTTGCACTCATTTTGAAAGAGGGCGATTAGCTGTAAAATGATATCAGTATTTATAAGCTGAAATCTGTAAAAGAAAATGGTTTGCAACATTATAACGTCGCAGATAGATTAAATAGATCTTTCCACAGGACAAGCGCAAGGAGTGCGTCAGAAAGAACGCATTCGTTTACTGAAGGCGCGTTCTATGATAGTGCTCTGTGTTGAGCTGTTCACAAACGTGAGAACACTAGATGTCGTTTAATTTACATGATAATGGATCTTTTATTAGTTTTTTCCCTCTTTTTCTGTTTTCCACCCGTCAAACGTTCTGTCCCCAGAGAAATTATATTAATATTGAATATTTGACCGTCCATTTATATCAAATGCCTTGTGATATTTTTCAATGCTCCATTTAAGCGGTGGAGATTATAAATTTAAATGGACTCATTACTATAACAAAGATATCAATCATTACAGTGGCATAATAGAAACTGTTCTGATTTAAAATCTATAAAAAGAGTTGTTTTGGTGTATATTCCCAGCCCCATCTTTTTAAGAGGGCGTTGCATATACTGAAGCTACATTTCTGCTCTGCACACACATCAATAAATAGCCAGTAGAAGCAACATGAACAAGACCTAGAGAACCAGTGTCGAAAACACACATCGCATACTCAGCCTCAGACATGCCAAGCACCACCAAGGGACCTGTGGCTAAACGTCTGGTGCATATGGCACGCTTTTTTGGAAACACTTAAGCAGATTCTCAGTCGCCCTCTGATTGGTTTAAATCTACAAGATTTGTTGAGTGTGGAGCTGAGTGTGCAGCAATCCTAACCAGTCTGTCTGGAAACAAGTTTGCATCTTATGCCAAGTTCAGACTGCCAAAATTTCAAAGTAGTCGTGTCACAGATGATTTTAAACTGCATGACTATCTGGGGTAGCGTTCGGTCGCTGCTGTGTTTACATTGTAGGATGGATCTGCGACAAGGTGTTACACTTCATGACTTAACAATAGGAAGAATCGTCGACAACTTTGTCTAGATCCACAACCAAACACATGCAGGAAGTGACTTGGAAACAACGCAGGTCATGTGGTATATCTTTTGTTATTAACTACATAATATGAAAGAAGCCTTTAGTGGGGTAGAAAATGTCCTTATTTTGCTCACCTGGCCTTTGAAGGGAATTAGCCATTTCTCTTTTTTTCTTTTTCAACCCAGTTGAGATATTGCTCAGATAAAACGTCAGACACGGGTGCTGCTGCCAAATTTACACTAGTTTTTCCTACATTTCTTGGGTCCAAATAGACCAAAAAATAAGCTCTTTTAACTTCTCCCCCAACCTCCCGCTGGCCTGCAGATACCAATACTAGTAGATGCTGCTCTCTCATTGGCTGTAGCTGATCAGCAAAGTTGTTGTCAACCAGAACACATTTCACATGGCATGATCTGAATCACAGACAGCTCCAGATATTTAACATCCCAAATATCTCGTGTCGACAACTCATTAACGATTCTCTCAGATCGCAGCTTTGATAGTTCACGCTGTGTGATTGTTACTCACGTGAACGAGCTCCCATTACCTGTGATTTCAGGGATTTGTCAGCGATTTCTCAGAACCTGTCGGCGAGTCAAAATCAGAGCTAAAATTATGCAGTCTGAACTTGGCATCAGTCTATGTCTATGTACAAGTCCTTTTTTATGTTTTGCTGACATATAATTAAGGATATTGATGCATCATTGTAAACTTTTAAAGATTTATGGAGTGGATGGACATTTTCACACCCCTATTTATGAAATCCATAACAAATAAAGGTGAATGCTTAGTGAAACTGTCAGTCAAAAGCACCATGGGTGGCCCTTGAGTATTTGAATTGGCCAAAGTTACCGGACCTTCAGTCTGAAGTCTGGCTACTTGTTACTAGGGCCTAATTTATCTACTCATGTTTGTTTCTATTATTATTATTATTATTATTATTATTATTATTATTAATTTCTATTATTAATGGCTATTATTAGTGTCTATTATTACTGTTGTTATTATTATTATTATTATTATTATTATTATTATTATTATTGAAACATCTAGTTACAATAATTTCAATAAAAGTAATTTTTTTTCATTAATTTTTAATGAAAATGCTACAGAGCACCATCTTCAAAATTTTAATTCAAAAACATTATAGTATTTGCTGATAAAATAACTTTTTCTGGCATGCGAAGCCTCAAGTTATTAATGCACGGTTTTGTGTGATCCATGTAACATGACATTATTGCAAGGTGCATTCAAAGCCTCTGAAATATAGACCATGTAAGTTGTATCACTCAACTCGCTAAACTTCTACATAATGTATATGCAACCTTGTTGTCATACGTGTATCACTCTCTCTCTTTTTCTCTGTCAAACTCACAGTAAGCGAGCATGCTCTGCATTATTTTCACCCTATGTTTAACTAGGGTTTCATTTTCAAAAATGATTAAGCAATTCTAGTTTCACTCGGTTTCTCTTAGTGTTTCTTTTACATAGGCCTAAATTACAGAAATCAATGGTTCGGGAGGTAAAAAAAAAAAAAAGAATTTAGATGTGTACATTTGTGTGTATTTTCACAGCAAAACAATAAACGAAATGACACATACAACCATTTCAGCATTTTCTAAGCACAGAAACTTCAGCAATGGGCATGGTCAAGCATAAACAATGTGCTGAGCAGGGATGCCCAAACTCGGCCCTGGAGGGCCGGTATCCTGCAAAGTTTAGTTCCAACAATCAGACACACCTGGGCTAGCTAATCAAGCTCTTACTATAATAAAAACATCCTTGCAGGTGTGTTGAAGCTAAAATCTGCAGGACACCAGCCCTCCTGGACCGAGTTTGGACACCCCTTGCTTAAAGAATCAAAACCGCATGCCTAATAAGACTGATTTGGTTTAATGGTAATTAAAATGGGGATTATTATTGTTGTAGGATTATGTAAACACAAGGCTATCACACATATTTGGCTATATAATTCATTAATTTATTTTATTTTTTTCGGCTTTATTAATCTGGTGTCGCCACAGCAGAACTTTTCTAGCATATGTTCTACATGTTTTACCCATCACTAGGAAACATCCATACACTCTTATTCACACACATACACTACAGACAACTTAGCCTACCCAATTCACCTATACCACATGTCTTTGGACTTGTGGGGGAAACCGGAGCATTCGGAGGAAACCTACGCCAACCCGAGGAGAACATGCAAACTCCACACAGAAATGCCAATTGATCCATCTGAGGCTCGAACCATTGATCTACTTGCTGTGAAGCGAACGTACTACCCACTGCACCACCGTGCATCCCTGTCCATCTAATGCAATGAAAAAATCTAATTTGCACAATAGGTGCTGTTTTAAGGTCTGTACTGGAGGAGGTAAAAGCCCATGTATTTATCCATTTAACTGTTGTTCTGAATATGACTAAATAACTACATATGAGTGCATTCAAAACAGCTGCCATATGCACTGTTTCATATTATCAAGGATTTCAGAACAAACCTATTGAGAGGCACTTTTCCATTGCAACCAGTCTTTATTCCTATGTAAATCAGGTTACACTCTCAGAAATCTTTCAGTTACCAATATGGACTATTTGTTTATGTACTAACGTACATTTTGAAAAAAAGTATCGCCCCAGCAAACACCTTTGTGCCTTTATTTATTATATTTATAGTGAACTCTGAGAAAAGAAGACTAAAATGTAGTAGGTCCTAATTATTAGTCTGTGGTTTAGATATGAAAAGTGGCAAAAGGCAGGCAAACCACTAAAACTTGTGGTTTGAGGGTGACTGTAGGGTTGGTTATACAGAGTGTAACAAAATATGAAACTTGTCAGTGAATCAATGTGGGAGAAAACCAGAAGGGAGTGAAAATACCATCTGGAAAAGAAGAACAGCCAGAAGTTGTTTTTGACTCATTTTATTGACAGAAAGAGGAACAAATGTTTAAATATTTTGGTCCCACGAGCCTTTAGATTATGGTGACCCCTTTATTTTCAGATATTAGACATGTCTGTCCAGACAGTCCTTCCTATATTAGTGCCATCAGCTTTTATTAATGTAAAATCTAACATGAACTTAAATATAAATCAAATATAAAGAATTGTACCTGTTTTTAAAATAAAGTTGAGCTCTTTCTGCCATTGTTTAAAATAGTTAATCAGACAATCATCTACTATTTCTCAATATGTGCTGTTCTTATATATGAAGTTCAAAATGTAATTTTGGGAGGAGCTTAAATATTCAGACTTGTCAGTTATTATAATTTACGACAGCCATTGTCCCAGTTGACAAATTTTCTGACATCTCTCCACCACCCTACCTTGTCCTTTTCCTATTTCATGTCTTCGGAAGTACACTCATACACTGCAAAAAAATGATGTCTGTAAAATTGTATTTGTATTATATGTTGAATTTAAACAAGCAAATTAAAAGTAATGTTCAACTTAATTTGTTTGTTTTAATTCAGCTCAAATAAATTGTTTTCAACCACTTAAAAAATGAGTAAATCCAAGTCTTTTCAGTGTAGGGGGATTGAACTGAAATTGAACCACTATCGAGGTACAAAAGATGTAATTGGACAGTGAAGTCATATACCATATTTGTTTCATTACTAATTGATAATTTTTTTTTTTCCAACAGCACTATCTCCTAACGGTCATGGCCATGGCAGCACAAGTCTTTGTGCATCCTAGCCTGAAAAATGCTGTTAGTCTGGTAGTAGTGAAGATGGTTGTTGTGGAGGATGAGGAAGTGGGACCTGAGCTTTCAAGTAACGGCGGCGTTGCCCTGCGTAACTTTTGCATGTGGCAACAACTGTTCAACCCTGGCAGCCAGAGGCATCCAGAACATTATGACACAGCCATCTTGTTCACTAGAGAGGTGAGAAACAGAAAACTCTCTTCAAAACAAAGTAATCAAATCTGATAGAAAAAACTAAATGTTTATTTCATGCTGTAACCGACAGCCAAATGTATTTTGGACCTTGTTTAATTTTAGGCTTGAATTTATGACATAACTGCACTTTAAATAGCAGATTTACTTTTGATATTAAAAGTGTGTTGGACATTTAATTAAATTTTCCTTCAGGAAAGATGGCAACTATTTCTCTCATGTAATTTTAGTCCACACACATTTTACAGACGGAATTACCTTCAGCTTTTGATTAACTCGCTTGGCTACCACTTTTCCAAAACAAGACATAATTTCATCGAGTCAATGACAGGGTCATGATCACAATGCTCAGCAGGGGACTCCTTGTCCAATTTTGGAGACGGTAAGCAAGAGATTGTAGCTCTGCCAAAAACCAGAGGGTCAGCCCCGCATAAAGCAGACATAGGAACGAAAATGAAAAGTTGGCTGGACATCCAGCTGAGAACAACACAACAGAACGCAGGTCCTGCTGTGGCTAGATGGAGAAACAGGTGGTTTTTATTTAGTGGAGGAGGTCTGAGTATCTCTGGTCGTCTCGCATGGCTTCCACTGAGACGTGTTCCCCAGTTAAGGTTATCCCTGTCTGGACAGGGAAGTATTGGACAGGCCCTTCAGTCTGCATGTGTTGTGTGGTCCAGCTATCTCACAGTTAATTTTCCCCCTCTTGTGTGTGTGTGTTTTTTTTCTAGTATTCAGTCTGCCATGTATTTGCTTCATTTTACGATGGAAACACTGACAAATATGTTTTGTTGGCAAGAGTCTGCTTGGGGAAAAAAGGGCTGTCTGGAACTAATGGAGCGATGTCTGGATATCAGTGTCTCAAATGTGTCCCCCTGTACTCTCCTCTTGCTTTTTCCCTCATTTGCCTACTTGTCTGTCTCTCATTTTGACTTCAGGATATTTGTGGATACAAGGATTGTGACACTCTGGGTGTAGCTGATGTTGGCACTATGTGTGACCCCAAAAGAAGCTGCTCCGTTATAGAGGACAACGGCCTTCAGGCAGCGTTCACTGTGTCACATGAACTCGGTATGTTCACACGCATGACCAGACTCCATGACTGTAGTTGAATATCTCACCCTCACTGACTGTCTGGACAAGAGCATGGGTTCCAGACTGAGTCATTAATTAATGGAAACCAGATGTTAAAATACACTGAGAGCTTTGTGCTACTATTAGCGACATTGATCATATTCAATATCAAATCAATTATTAATCAATCATCTACATGTGAAGTGTATGTAAATAGCTTTCTCAGTATTCAAGTGTTCTCCATTACAATATACCTAAAGACAACTGGTAGACAAACCTTGAGTTTCATAATGGAATTAATTGGTGCTTTCCTAAAGCTACAGTACACTACTTACATGCTACGATCACATCGAAATAATGCGGTGCTTTCTAACATCATCTGAAAATGGTGGGTGGTCAACCATAGGCACTGAATCTCAGGTATGGTGGGTGGGTATAGTGTGTAGGGAATTTAAAAAAAGACCAATGCGGGATCGTTTTACAGTGTGGGAGTGGTTGTATTGAATTGATCGCTCAGATTAACAGCACTTTCTTTTTTGAGCTCTGAATTATTATATTTTTTATAAATCTATTGCACTATGCATTCACTATAGAATAGAAGTGCACTTGAAACTTCATGCATATTCATTCATTCATTTTCTTTTCGGCTTAGACCGTTTATTAATCAGGGGTCACCACAGCGGAATCCAGCCTATGTTTTACACAGCAGATGCCCTTTCAGCTGCAACCCATCACCGAGAAACACCCGTACATTCTCATTCACACACACACTAAGGACACTTTTGTACATAATTTCGTACTTATTTTGGGTCTAAGTTAATTAGGTGGGCCTCCATTAATCTTGGTACATTTATTTACTCATTTAGCAGACACTTTTATCCAAAGCTATCATTATCAAAATATGTCATTATCATTTCAATTACGTCCTTAAAATTCCATTTGAGGAATTTGTTTTTTAATAATTATTACAAACTAAGTGAAGTTTCGACAAACTAATTTCGAGAGGAGCACGTTATATGATTGATCGCGGCTGGTTTCCCATCCAAAATTAGTAGTAAGCCAATCAGATTAATCCAAACTCAGTATAAATAAAATAGCCTGTCTAGAATTACTACTTTATCTTCATTTTCCGAAGAATCCCCCATCCATCCTATCTCCCCCCTTTTCTCCTTTATCAGGGGGAGCTCTCGAGAACTACCTGATCTCGTACTGATCCCCCTTGCATGCTTTTCGACCAGGCGGGGGCCCTGGGCTTAATTACCTCCCAGCTGAGGGTTCTCTCCTGGGACAGCATGCCAAACCTGCTAATATTATCAAGCAATATCTAAGTGTGAACTCTTGAAAGCAAGAAAAAAAAACCCATACAGAATATGCACATACAGATACAGTAGGTGTTCAAAATACAACCTTTGCCCTTGGGATAAATCACCAAATTGTAGTAATAGCTATAGTGTTGTTATCTATTTGAATGCACCGTAAATGAAAGGTAAAAACTACACAGTATGTAGCAGTGATGGACATCCTTGAAAGTTATATGAGGAGCACAGCAATGTGGAAAAGTTATTACACTGTACAAGTACATCTGTCTGTTTTTCTACTTTTTTCCAGGCCATGTACTCAGCATGCCACATGATGATTCGAAAAACTGCGAGAAATGGTTCGGGCATCTCTATGGGCATACAATGGCTCCTTTCTTTGTCCATCTCAACAAAACTCTTCCCTGGTCTCCATGTAGCGCATTATACATCACAGAGTTCTTCGACAATGGCCACGGTAGGATTCTTCTCTGGTTCTCTAGAGATACTGTTTTCATTATTTCCCTTCTTTAAATATTTTACGAAAACCAATTTTGCCCTTGTGTAACTGAGTGGGTTTTCTTTTGGTTTTCAGTTTTTGTTTGGTTTTGGCACATAATGGTGCATATATCCCAGAGACCCGGAGAGAAAAAAAATAATAACACTGAGTGAAGTTTTTGAGCCATTTGGCTTGAATTGTAAATCTGTCATTCTAAAGTTAATGGAAACATGTCACAGAGAAGCTACTGTGTAATTTTGATCTTAATGTGCGGTGAAAAATCTCTATAATGTAGATGCCTGTGTTTTATGAATTGACTTTCCTTCAGTGTTTTGCACGTTTCTTGTTTAAATGCCTCTTCTGTCTTAACCTACTCCCTAACCACTAATAATGGGCTGGTGGGACCACACTGTGTAATTTTGCTGAGAGTGTCAAAACTAACAGTCTTTGCAGAGTAAGCTCACTCTCACTCACTTTGTCTACTCGTGTACTATATAAATACACAAACTATGGTTCAAAAGTTTGGGGTCACGAAGAGCCCGGTTCTCTTATGCTCATCAAAACCACATTTATTTGATCAAAAATACAGAAAATGTCATTAAAAATAACCGTTTTATTTTAAGATGTTAAATTTTTCCATGCGATAACAAAGCTAGATTTTTTACAGCCATCATTTTCAAATTATTCAGATTTTATTATTCTGATTTCTTAATATTATGAATATTAATGTAATGTAATGTGTGTATTTATATAGAGCTTTTATTGTCTATAGCCATACACCCAAAGGGCTTCACAATCATGAGTGGGCGGGGGCTCTCCACACCACCAACAGTGTGCATCATCCACTTGGTTGATGCGTCGGCAGCCACATGACAATGGCGCCAGTGCGCTCACCACACACCAGCTATAAGTGGAGTGAAGAGACAGTGATAGAGCCAATTCAGTGGATGGCGTTGATTAGGAGGCCGTGATCTGTAAAGGACGATTAAGGGAATATGGCCAGAACAACGGGGTTACACCACTACTGTGCCATGGAATTTTTAATTACCACAGAGTGTCAGGACCTAGATTTAACGTCTCTTTAGAAAGATGACGCTCACTGACAGTATAGTGTCCCCTGCACTATACTGGGGCATTACGACTCACACAGACTGCAGGTTGAGCACCCCCTTCTGGCCTCTCTAACACCACTTCCAACAGCAACCTAGCTCTACCATGTGATCTCCCATCCAGGTACTGACTAATTTCAGCCATTGTTAGCTTCAGTGAGCAACCAGTCTTGGGCTGCAGGGTGATATGGCTGTGGCTAATCTGTTCAAAACAAGTGGATGAATCTTTCCATGATATTTTATTGAATTAAACGTACAAAGGACTAATAATGGATTAATTTAAGTTTAATTAATGGATCAAAATGAAGCTTTTCTGATCAGTTTAATGTTTCCTTGCTGAGTGAAAGGAACACTTTCTATAAAAGAAATCGTACTGATCCCCTGATTTTGAACATTAGTGTGCATATTTATTTTTTCTTATCTATGAAATATGATTTCATAATTTGTCAATTCATGAAACAATATGCCATTGCCAGGGGAACATGTTGAGACTCTGTCAGAGATACGTAATGTTAACCACGATTTAAATAAACTACAGCAATTCACAACAAAGATGAGCTCAGATTCGAAAAAGTGACAGCTCAGGAAATATGGTAGACATACTTTCTCCAGTTGTTGATTTATTTCCGCTGATATCTCAGTCTACACTCTCTCGTTCCCGCTCTTCCACTGACTCATCTTCAGTGACTCACACATTCCAGGTTTAACAACTGTTTTCCCTCACAGAGACAGTATGCGAGGCCAAGCACATGCCGTCTTTACCGGCCATACTGTTGCCACAGGTAGACTGTGAACTGATACGGCTTCAAGCCTGTTATTTTCCATTGTTTTTATGCCGGTATCCGTTTCAGCGAAAGCCTTTCATTACCAAGCATTCATAACATTCATTTAGGTGTGCAAAGCCATATTGAACCCTTTTCAAATGTTTAATACCTTAGAAATTAAGGTGTCCTCAATACTTTAAGCCTAATTAGATTTCACAGTATCAATGTTGGAAAAACACAGAGGGAGTCAAGGAGTCTGCATAATTGTTTCAAGGCATTATGCTGTCTCCATATCTTTATCCATATGGATAAAACGATGTTTGGGAAGGACTCTTGGTAGACATTCCATATAGTGAAATTAAACTTTCTTTTGTTGCTGATTCATTTTTTTTTGTTCTAGAGTGAGCTAACTGAGGCTCCACAATAGTAGGTTACATAATGGAAATCTCCAGATGCGCACGTTGAGAAGAGAGAAGGTAGAGCAAGATCTCTCTGCTATGAAAATAGTCCCCTTAAGCTAACGTGCACACCTGTTTTAGATAGCTGAATATAAAAGATCATTTTAGTTGAGGTAAACAATCAGTCAATAGCAACAGTTCAAACCAAATGTATGTGTTATTGTTCAGACTGGGTATTGCAACAATACAGACTTCTCACAGTTTTAGGGTCACGGCTTTGGTTCAGTATATGATATGTTTAGTAAAAAACTGGATATTTGTCTAATAAAAATAGAGGAAAAAACTCAAATACAAAATACAGTACATAATGAATACATTTGAGCAAAAATACTGCTAAAAGAAACAGTGCTTTTCAGGTTTTTTTTTTGTGTCTTACAGTAGTTTTAGCATAAAGCTATAGCTATTCAGCCAGTGACTATTGTGGTTTAAATAATATTTAAAACAAAGACAGCAAGAATAAGATGTCTTTACATTATGAGAATCCACATTTCCCGAATGTTTACGTTCTAATGCTAACCCATTGAATACTTCTTAAGTCAGAGAGGTGGATTATTTATTAATTCTTTTTGGTCATAATGGAGTTTCACCATTGAGAAGTCAGAATTGATTTGCATGTCACATCTTTAAATTTATTTGTTCAGTTGAGCATTTCTCAGATCTCCCGCACAAGTTCTCTTTGTGCTTTGATGTTCAATGTTTAAAGAGCCCCTATTATGCATTAAAAATGTCATATTTTGGTTTTGGGAGAATTTCATTGTTATATATGCATTTTTTTAACCTAATTTTCCCAACGACTCCCATATGATTTGTTCAACGATTCATTTGTTCCCAAAACCCTCCTTAGCGCGATGCTAATCTTTGCTGATTGGTCTGATGGCCCAGTCTGTTGCTATTGGTCGAGGAGCAATTTTGGTCATTTTCAAAAACCCATTATAGGAGCTCTTTAAATAACAAAAGCTTATAAATTTAGTTTAAATATAAATAGCGACACAGTATGAGTTTCTAGTATGCACGCATAATATCATTTTCACTTGAAAGATTCCTAACTTTACCGTGCTCACTCACTGTTCATATCAACTCATGGACATAGATTCTAACATGCACAAACCTCATATTATGTCTATATATGTGTATATTCAGCCAACTCAACTCCACCCAATGACAGGTTTCCAGCTTCCCTCCTCCACCCTATCTCTTCCTTCTTCCCTACTCTTAGGGTACATGTCAACTGAAGCATATTTGCACAGATGAAAATGCCAGCGCCCTTCCAAAAGCAACCACTTCTCTAAATGTTAGAGCTTTTGAAAAAAATTGAATGCTTATCGATTTGTGTAAAACGCATGCTCAGTGCCTCACTACGCTGCTGGCGGACTATAAGTGATTATATGTAATACTTGAGTTGTTTACAAGTTGTTTTGTTGACATTTAAACACAGATTGAGTGACTTCATAATGTATCCATTTCACTGTGTTATTGATGTTTGTTAATGTTTATTTAAAGCTATGAATTGTGGTAAAATTGATGATTGTTTTACATGCACTTAACTGAATTAAGCTTGATGGACCTACAGTACAGATCAAAGATTAACCAGCTAAGAAATTCAGATTTTCAATCCAATACTAATCTTTACAGAAACTGGGTTGAATTTGAAGCAATCTCTAGAAATGTGCAGCTGAATAAGAACATGTGTGTGTGTTTTTCAGGTGACTGTTTGCTGGATCCTCCTGAAATGACCATCCCTTTAGCTGCTGAGCTCCCTGGTCATACATTTGGTCTAGACCAGCAGTGCCAGCAGGCGTTTGGAAACAAATACACCCACTGTTCCAATGCCCCCGCAGATCAGACTTGTGTACAGCTGTGGTGTCGAGAGGAAGGAAAGATTCAGTGCACAACTCGGAATGGAAGCCTTCACTGGGCTGATGGCACTCCATGTGGGGAAGACAGGCGATGTCGTGAGGGTTTGTGTCTGTCGAGTGCAATGGAAGAGGCGGGAGAGCAGAAGGTATGCATGTGTGTTTGTGCGTCATCCAGTTTTATCACCCTTTACCTGTCAGCACATATGCAGAAAAAATGGCTGGAAACACCCATGCACAGATTTATGGGCGCCACTATTAAAAAATATCTGATGTCGTGCTTATAGCCCCTTTGTGCGTCACTCTTTCTACCGTTGCATACTGTCTCAATTATCTGTTCTGTCTCTCAGTTCTTTCAAAACTTTTAGATATTTCCCCTTCTTCAGACATACTCTTTTCACCGTAATGTTTACATGTTTGAAAGAGTGTCTGAGTGCTCAGAACAGAAGAGTCAGACTGCGTTTTTCACCTACAGAAATAAAACTCATTCCGCTTCTTGGATCGCAACCAGGCTTTTTGCAGCTTAAAATAACCAATCTACTTTTATATCCAGCATTTAAATGCCAAAGTGAAAGTAGGTTTATGTAGATGGAGCCCTTGAAAAGCTCAATTATTTTTGAACCTTCCATTTAAGATGCAGTTGCATTGTATTCAGCAAAGCCTCTTTAAAAAGTGTGATTATTTTTGGTGTAGTGTGTAAAAAAAAAAATACAGCTTGTGATCCCAGACGGCCTGGCTGTGAGAAGGCATCCCTCAGCCAAGTCATAAAAAACCCTGACAGAAATGCAGTGTGGTATGCTCACATTCCGTCAGCACTACGCTTACTGGAAGTGATGTTTAGGAGCACTTTGCAAGGCTAGATCAGGGGTCAAGATGAGCACCGCACGTGACAAAGTCTTCAATAATACACAGAAAACAATAAATAAATATCATTTGAATTTATAAGTTACACAGACATTTAACATTTATAAATTTATACAGTATGTAACATTCTTTTTACACACACACACACACACACACACACATATATATATATATATATATATATATATATATATATATATATATATATATATATATATATATATATATATATATATATATATATATATAGTATGTACACATGCAAGTTTGGGCCCACTAAGATTTATTTATTTTTTATATAATGTTATTCACAAGCAAGTATTACACTGATCAAAAGTGAGATTTATATTGTAATATAATATTGTACACGTAAATGGTCAAATAATGTACCACAAACATTTGCTTCAACATTGATAATGCATCCTGAGCACAAATTCATCATTGTAAAATTATTTCTAAAGGATAGGCAGAGAAGGATAGACACTAACTGCGTCCCAAATCGCATACTTATGCACTATTCTACGCCATTTTTGTAGTATAAATAGTGTAAGTAGTGCGTTCACACTGAAAACTCTAAAAATAATTAAAAAAAGTGCACTTTAATTACGCGGATGATGCACTCATTCAGCCGGTAAAATGAAGTGTGTAAAGATAGACACTTCACGCACTCAACGACCGCAGGTTTGCTAACGTAGCAGAGCATGTTGGATAATTTTATTTATTTTGAATGGTGGAAGCAAAATTTTTTTATGCGAGTGATTATAGTGGCTCCCGATGGTGAATGCGGTTATATTTATGGCAGGTATTATTTGATTGTTTGGTCATTTATTTCACTGATTTGGCAACCGTCAAACATCATCAAGGAAACGCTTTGAATTTCCGCTTAGTAAAAAACATTAGTACTCCATTTGGGACGACACTACATACATATACTATGCTGTTGAGTGTGTAAGTGCATAAGTACATAGTGTATAGTGTGCCATTTGAGATGCAGCTACAATCTTTACAAAAAAATACATTGCTTTTGTAGCCTGTGGCTTTAAATCCCAAATGAGCTGCTTTTCCCTACCCACCTCTCCAACGTGCACGTCTGCTTCTCATGCATTATGTCGGATAAACAGCCGTTAGTGATAGAGACATGAAGGATTAGTCAAAAATACCAAAAAAAGTTAATTTGATGTATTTGTGGAGTTTATTCAAGCCTTTCTGAAACAAGGAGTCACACACAAATGCCGTTAGCAGTACACACACACATGCATACATAAAATTGGAGGGATTTGGATCCTATTTTAGCGACAACATTTTCTTAAAAAAGAGACTTGTTGTGTTTCTAACACCCTAATAGGACTGTGTACACACAATACCTTAACACAGTTTAGTCCAAACAGCTTCCAAAAGTTGATTTTCACTCTTTAACTTGTGTTTTTCACATGTGAAGCTTGTGTAGTTGAAGACTGAAGAAATCTAGTATAGCTGATTTTTTTCACAAAAAAAAATACAGTAGAAGTCAGAATAATTAGCCCCCCTGAATTATTTTTTCCCAATTTCTGTTTAACGGAGAGAAGATTTTTTTTTCAACACATTTCTAAACATAATAGTTTTAATAACTCATTTCTAATAACTTACTTATTGTATCTTTGATATGTTGACAGTAAATAATGTTTTACTGGATATTTTTCAAAACACTTTTATACAGCCCAAAGTGACATTTAAAGGTTAACTTCTGTAGGTTAATTAGGTTAACTAGACAGGTTAGGGTAATTAGGCAAGTTATTGTATAACAATGTTTTTTCAGTAGACTATTGAAAAAAAAATAGCTAAAAGGGGCTAATAACTTTGACCTTAACCTCCTAGGGCTTTGTGACCACATACATGGACAGCACATTTTAGCTCTTAAGTGGCTATTTAAAATACTTAAAATAGAATAGAATAGAATGTTTTTTATTTTGTTACTGACATCCCTGTACAGTGTCATCCTGCTACTGTTTTGCAGCATATGAAATGTCCCAAACACTATTTTAAAATGTCCAAAGTGGGGAAAAAAGGTTGTTTTACTCTCTGATAATCAAAACATTTTTTTTTTTAAATCTGTTAAATATGCATTACAAAACAGTCAGGAAAAAAGTGTTTTATGTAAATTCGAACCATTAGTCCACATATATGGACATTATTTTTCTCTAAAACATACATCATATCAAAAGATGTTACTTAGGTTTTTATTCTAGTTATGTTTCAATAAGCCGAAATTTCAAAGAGAAATAAAAAATGCATGTAAAAACATATTGAACCGTAAGAGGTTAAAATGGTTTTTAAAAAATTAAAAATAGTTTTTGTTCTAGCTGAAATTAAACAAATAAGACTTTCTTCAAAAGAATTTTTTTATAAGTAATAATAATAATAATAATTATATATATATATATATATATATATATATATATATATATATATATATATATATATATATATATACAAAACAAAATTTGTTATATATAAACAATATATATATAATTTACAATATCATTGTACTGTATTTTGTACTTTGTTACATTTTATTGTGAAATCTAACAGCCTCTATTTTGTGTCCCAGGTGCCCGTCAATGGTGGATGGGGAGAGTGGGGCCCTTGGGGGCCATGTTCACGAACATGTGGTGGGGGTGTGGAGTTTTCCCATCGAGAGTGCACTTCTCCTGTACCACAGAATGGAGGATTGTACTGTGTGGGACAGAGGGTCAAATACCAGTCCTGCAATACTCAGACCTGCCCAGAAGACCATGGTAACATTTTATAAATAAACCTCCATACTCACTTTAGATAGCATAGGTCGCATTATTGAGGGTTAGAGAATGAGTGAGTGGAGAGAATGAAGCCATGAGGTCAAAAGACCGTGCAGTTTTCTTATAACATTTATTCTCAGAGATGCACCTGTGTCCTTTTTTTAATCCACAGGAAAAAGCTTCAGAGAGGAGCAGTGTGAGAAGTATAACAGTGACCGTTACATGGACATTAAAGGGAACATAAAGCAGTGGATCCCCAAATATTCTGGTGTCTCTCCACGAGACCGCTGCAAACTTGTCTGCCGAGCCAAAGGAAGCAATGAATTCAAAGTGTTTGAAGCCAAGGTGCACATCCATTGAAGACATTTTACTTTTAATCTAATCCGATCAGCAATAAGAACGATATGTGAAATTAATTTTAGTCTCTGCCTGCTCTAAAGCTTTACTAAGATGTCAGACGGTCGCTCTCTTAGACTTCCCTCTCGCCACATGCCCATTGATATCTTTACACTCCCACTAAACTCTCATGCATGAAATATTTTCCCTGTTGTAAAATGTGAAACCTGAGCACCCCAACCCTACAGTCCAGCTACTTGCTTAAGCTCTTGAGTGCACCTCTGTAACTGATATTTCAGATACAGCTGAAATGTTGTTAGTTTTGCATCATCAGCCCAGAGTTCTGGCGATTCTGCTTTATGTGGAATAGCCATTATGTGAGAACAGAATACACTGGAGCACTTAGGCTGCCATTGCAATAAAAATACACATTATTTCTTGAAACATTTGTTGAAGGTTTCTGTCTATTCTGACACTCGTCTTTTCTATATGCTGGGCAGGTTGTGGATGGCACCACCTGTGGGCCAGATACCACATCCATCTGTGTTCAGGGCCAGTGCATCAAAGCCGGATGTGACCAGGTGATAGGTTCCAATGAAAAGCTGGACAAGTGCAGTGTTTGTGGAGGTGATGGTACAACCTGCAGGAAAATAAGTGGTTCGCTAAACAAAGCTACGTAAGTGAAAATCATATTTTTAAGCAATTCATTTAAAAAAAAAGAAATATAAACACTGGGAAAGGCGAGAGCTGCTGATATAACTGATATGAAATTCTGATTTTAGGCATCAGGGTACCATATTTCAGTGTGAGAAATGGCTATTCACTTTGAGATTTGCTAAAAAATTAGTTTTGTTAGTAGTTTTAAAGATTAACTTTGGTAAGTGTTTAAGGAAAAATGTAAATGTTGATGATGGGCTTAAGCAATTAATGACCCACTATGAGTTAATATCTGTTAATACATCCAATATTCAGAATTGTGTTCTGGAAGAACCATTTGTATGGGGCCCACCATCATAAAATCATCAGTGAAAAGTTCTTAAAAGGATTGATCACTCAAAATTCAAATTTAATGTTAATAAACTCACCCTCAGGCCATGCAAGATGGAGACAGTTTGTTTTCTTCAGGAGAGCCTTCAAGAAGAGCTTGAGCTAAAACTGTGGTCCTTTCAGAGAGTGTGCTTCTGGTTCAAATGATTTACCAGATTCTTTTATGTATTCATACACCTAACATATACAGCTGAAGTCAGAATTATAAGCCCCCCTGTTTATTTTTTTCCCAATTTCTGTTTAAGGCAGAGAATACTTTAACACATTTCTAAACATAAAATTTTAATAACTCATCTCTAATACCTGATTTATTTTATCTTTGCCATGATGACAGTACATAATATTTTACTAGATATTTTTCAAGACATTTCTATACAGTAAAACTTAAAGTGACATTTAAAGGCTTAACTAGGTTAATTAAGTTAACTAGGCAGGTAGGGTAATCAGGCAAGATATTGTATAATGATGGTTTGTTCTGTAGACTATTGAAAAAAAATAAAGCTTAAAGGGGCTAATATTTTGACCTTAAAATGGTTTTTGAAATTTAAAAACTGCTTTTATTCCAGAAGAAAAAATATTTCAGACGGGGGCTAATAATTCTGACTTCAACTGTATTCATTCATATAAACTGCCAAATTACTACATGTAATTACTGTATGTAACATAAAGATGAATAGGCTTCATCAATTTCTTTTTTTTTGCATAAACTATGACATAACCATAAAAATCAGCCAATCTTAGGCTTTGTTCATTTATGTAGTAAATATTGACCATTTTCTTGGACAGACCAGTTGTATCGGGTAAACATTGCATGATTTTGCCCCAATTTTTAGTTGCTGACAGTTTTGCAGAAAATGAAGACAAATGCCTAAAGTCACACAAAATCTGATGCATTTTATGCTATAGTAAAAATTGAGCATAGTAAAGCACAGACGACAAAATACCAAAGCACCAGTCAAGGTACCAAAAATAACAAAATGTGTGTGAACGCAACTGTATTAATGAGTCAGACACAGGACTGACAAATACAGTATTGTTGCTGTGTGAAAGGAACAGGTTCCCCGTGGGGTCTTAAAAAGTCTTAAATACACTGAAATATTGTCTTGTAGGTCTTAAATAATATTAAACGGGTCTTAATTTTCCTCTGTCCAAGTAAAGCTACCCAATCGAGTCAACACCATCCAATTACCAACAATTCATCTCAAAACTTTTTTTTTTTTAATTTATTTATTTTTATTGCAAGATCCGATTTACAATAGCTGTTCGCCAATTTTACAACAATTTCTCTAAATGAAATTCCCTTATCAGGGAAAGAAAAAGAAAAATAATTACACTATTCCTCATTATAATAACAGAGCCACATATCACTTTACATGATACACTATACTTAATCAATTTGGACCTAAGGTCAACAAATGTTTATTTTTGGTTATTTATGTCATTGTCTCCATAATAAATAAACTTTTAACAATGTTAAACTTGTCATTAAAAAAAAAAAAAAAAATTTAATCAGGGGTCGACACAGCGGAATGAACTGCCAACCTGTCCAGTATATGTTTTACACAGCAGATACACTTCCAGCTGCAACCCAACTGGGAAACATCCATACACACACATACACAATTTACAGAAGGAAAATTTAGCTTACCCAATTTACCTATAGCACATGTCTTTGGACTTGTGGGGGAAACCGGAGCACCTGGAGGAAACCCATGCAAACACAGCGAGAACATGCAAATTCCATACTGAAATGTCAACTGACCTAGCTGAGGCTCGAACCAGTGGCCTTCTTGCTGTGAGGCGATCATGCTACCCACTGCGCCACCGTGCTGCCCGCCCTGTATAAGTCTAAAATTTAATTCATAATAGTTTTAACGGGGTCTTAAAAAGTCTTAAATTTGACTTGATTAAACCTGCAGAAACCCTGAGTGGTGTAAAGAACATTTAAATAACCTCAAGAACGTTTCTTTTACTATCATAGACCTTTTGTGCAGTGAAAAGTTCTTGTGGCTGTTAAAGGTTTTCATGGATTAATTATTGCAAATAAAGCACTTTTTACTTTTAGGAATGTATGGTTGGCCAGTAACCAGTATGATACTGATATATCGTCCACATCTCTCCAGGTTTTCATAAACTGTTTTCTGCTAATGTCTCCACAGTATTGGCTACATTGATATTGTTACCATTCCAGCTGGGGCGACTAATATTGACATAAAGCAACGCAGCCATCGAGGCATCCCACATGATGGCAACTACTTAGCAGTTAAAGCTCAAGACGGAACCTACATCCTGAATGGGAATTTCTCAGTATCAATGGCAGAGCAGGACGTCCCAGTTCCCGGTGCTATGCTTAGATACAGTGGCTCCTCCACCACCCTGGAGCGACTTCTAAGCTTTCACAGACTTCAGGAACCCATCACCATCCAGCTGCTGTCTACTGCTGGTGACATCTCGCCGCCTAGAATCAAGTATACATTCTTTTTGCCAAGGGATGTGCCTTTTAGCAAGCCTGGCACTGAAAGCAGAATTTCAACACATGTGATTTCGCCTTTTGGGGGATTTGATTGGGTTCTGGGCGAGTGGTCCGAGTGCTCCAAGAGCTGTGGTGCTGGATGGTCCAGGAGAAGCGTGGAATGTAGAGATGGAGAGGGCTCTCTGTCTTACCTCTGTGATGCCGATCTTCGACCGGCAGACATCCGGCCTTGTGGAGATTTGCCCTGTCCCATGTGGCAAATGGGGCCATGGTCTGCATGCTCACGGACTTGCGGACCCGGAGAGCGCCACCGCACTGTAGTCTGTTTAGACTATGCTGGCAAGGTTCTAGAACCTCAGAAGTGCAATCCAGACAAGAGGCCAGAGGTAGCTGTAGGAGACTGCTTTTACCAGGACTGCTGAAGCTGACTTATGTAATAGAATGGAGGAGGTGGTGGGATGCGTATGTAGTGACTTGTCACCACCAAACTTCAAAACAAAAAGTGCTCTTAGAGATAGAGCGTTAGATCGGAGATCACTTATCAAGCATAACCAGGGCATTTTATTTTAAATATTACCTATGTAATGGTCTAATTCTCTGTCAAGTTTAATTATAACCACAAAGGTAACTTCCCACGGAGATCTACCTCAGTCAAGACAAGCTTCATAAAGTTAACAGTTGTTTAGAGAGGAGTCCTTTGGAACAAACCTGCTGAAATTCTGTTCAAACATCTCTCGCATACCTCCGTTATACAGTGCAGATTAATACACATCTAAATTGAGTCCAAATGTTCAGTGAAAGGAATAGCCATGGCCTAAAGTTTAAAGAGATGGTCACAAGTCCTAGCACAGGCATACATTGTAGGTGGGGGGAGTGAATAACCAGCAATCAGCCCCCATCTGCTCCCTGGGGAACCCACAACTCTGGGCTGTATGTTCACAGGTGTGTGTTGCTTCAGATCAGGGGTCACCAATCTCGGTCTTGAAGAGCCGGTGTCCCTGCAGGGTTTAGCTTCAACTTGCCTCAACTCACCTGCCTGTGTGTTTCAAGTATACCTAGTAAGACCTTGATTAGCTAGTTCAGATGTGTTTGATTAGGATTGGAGCTAAAATCTGCAGAACACCGGCCCTCCAGGAACAAATTTGGTGATCCCTGCATTAGATAAAAGCATCTTCTTAAAGATACAATCTATGCTAGAGCTACAGTCAGAGCATCCACCTTCATTAAATTGTCCATACCTGACTACAATTTAGTGTCTTTATACATGCTAGACTAATTGAATTCCCATTTATTTTCATTTTTTTATAGCTTCGAGTTTATTTTTTATCAATACCTACTACTTTACTTTAATACCTGTATTACTCTCAAAGGCTTTCCGATTTTTCATATTACAACACTGGAAACAGTATTTGGAGGTACAGTTCTTTACCTATCTGTAAAAGAACTGTTGGAACGCATACATATATGCTCAATTTACCTTAAAAGCTTGGTTACGAATGAATGATTTTAGTTTGTAATGAAGAATTAATGTGGAATCGCCCTCTCTTACACACTGTTAGTCTTTTTGTAATATAATTCAGCCATTTGGCAACAAGCTATCCCACACAGAGTGCAACAGTGTAAAGACTGCAAATGTGCCTTAAATTAATTCCTTTTTTATTATTAGCATCCACTGGTGCATATGACTTATAAAGGGATCATATAATATAACTGATACTGGCATGTGTGAGTTTACTTGAGGAAGTAATTTATTGTAAATGATCACGTAGAAGTGGATAATTACTGTATGTTATTGAACACACATGTGCCCTCAAAATAATTGCAATGACATCTAAAGAGGAAATACATTTCCTGTGAAAAACATTGAGATTGCATGCATCTTTGCAATCTGTATTCTGTTCATTTGTCTTTACTCTTCCGAGCTTTAGTTGGCACTATTTTAATACATTTGAAAATCGATCAACCATAAAAGAGGAGAAAATAAATAAAAATCTAAATGTTGTAAATAAATATTATTTTTCTATTTAATGAGACAAGTATAGGTCAGGAGATCATTTAGATGCAGTAGTGCTGAGCAGACATGCCTGATATTTCTGAGAAGTTTTCCCTTTAGCGTAAAGAGCACTGATATTTGTTCAATAAAGTGTCATTTCACATGTGGTGAAATGAAATGAAATTTAATACTTAGTTGCAAAATTATAATTTTCAAATTTGCATAGTTGGAAAATGTAACTAAAATGACCTATAAAATGATTAAATATAAGAGAAAAGATTTTCATTCCAATTGAATTAGAAGTATGCAAGCTTTGAAATGGTGCATATTTGAGACTAAAGCATTCTATCCCTTCAGTGAAGGTCTGCACAATGCTATTGTTATAGCTTCCTTTTACAAGCTATTTATTTTTCTACCTTCGACACCTAATGTTTTTTTTCTCTTGATGCTGCTGTCTATCTTATACATGATTGATGTATGAAATTAAATCAAATAAATATGTGTCTACAATAAAATTTGTTCTTTATTTGTTTTGAAAACCCTCCATGTCAACACATTGAACAGTCATTTAGCTCATAGATGTTAACTGAATACAAACACATACAGGTACAGCATTTAAGCAAACAAAACAAAAAAACTGAAGTCACAGGCATGTAGCCAGGGGGGGTTCGGGTGGTTCGAAAGACCCACTCCTCACTGACAAAGGTCCAGAATTTGTCACACATGAGCTCATTTATTTTATTTTGACTGGTATGCCATCATATATTGAAAAAATAACCCATCGAAGAAGGCTTTTTGACCAAGTGGAATCAGTTTTGGCCAGTGCAAACTATTATTGTTCATAAGTCCAACAGCTGTGAAAGAAAACATACAATCTGACGTAAAACAAGTCATCTTTCCCTACTGTATTGTTTTTAAATAGAGAAAACGTCTTACCAGAAACTTTTATTCTACATCTAGCACTTTTTCCTGAAAAATTCACCTATGGCGTAATTACCAACCTACGTCACACATGACGTCACACAGGTTAAAGCGCGCATACCGGTTGCAAAAAAAGACCAGTTTTAATAGCAAACAACAGCCATCAGAAGAACTGAATGGAGTAAGAACCTAATTAAAAATGCCGGACTCTGCAGTTCTCATTTTATATGAGGTGAGTTCACACGATGCTGAATCATACACATTTCTTGTTTTTAATTTCAGCAATGATTTCAGCAAAAACAGTTAAATATGGTGAATTAAACTGAGAACACTGAATGCTTAGAATGAAATGTAAAAATCTGTTTACCTACCCTGCCATACAGGTGTCAGAATGCAGCTGGTTTGCTAGTAAATGATTACCCAGGCCTTTTACAGTTCCGTTTTCTTTCCTTGTCCTTGGCCAGGCAAAACCTCGATATTTAGCACTACAAAGTTTTGAATGTGGTAATCATGGAACATTATTTCTTGCACATGACCACACAGAACAAAATTGTAATCATCCAAAGACTTGCAGGCCTTAACTTCTCTCATGTAAAATCACTTGAAGTTTCAATGAGAGTTGTATATTTTGGGCTGGACGCGCATGGAAGGGTGCTATCACAAATGGACTTGTCAGACGAACGCCGCTCGCTTTAATGTTAATTTTGCTGAATAACTGTGCTTATCACTGGGTGACAAGCTATTATAATACGCTGAAAGCATTATGTAAATAATATATTTAATATGTAATTAGTACAACTTATCTCTAATACAACAACAAACTCCGTACAGCATCAGATGTCATTCCCTCGCAGGTTTTTTTCTGCAACCTTGATTCAGACATCCTGAATGTTCACAAACCGGTAATTCACCTTTACTGCATGTTTTTGGACTGTGGAAAAAAACCAGACCACCCTGAGGAAACCCACGTCAACACAGAGAGAACGCGCAGCATCACACAGAAATGCCAGCTGACCCAGCCGAGGCTCAAACCAGCAACCTTCTTGCTGTGAGGTGATTGTGCTACCCACTGCGCCCACCATGCTGCCCTATTATTATGTTTCAAATTTTTTTTTTTTTTTTACAGAAATGGACAAATTCTGAGGATAGTTGAATGTGCTGACCAGTTAACAAAAGGCTATTTAAAACTTTAACCGAATTCTATTTTTTTTTTCTAATGATGTTATGTGATGTTAAAAATTGGTATTTAATAAATAAGTATTTCACATTTTTTATTCTAAATTGTTTGAAAATATTTTTGATACATATGTGTCGTTATGATGACTAATTTAGCTAAAAATAGTGCTTATAATGGCACTAAAATGCACTATTTAAAAATCATAATTAAATAGAAAATGAGGCGTATATGTGCCCTTTTTAAGAAAGAACCACACCATTCACCAGGCTAGCTACAGGCCTAATTCATACTGTCCTAAAAAATATATCCACAAAAGCCTGTATTCCCAAAGCAAAATGCTGGGAATCTTAGATTTAACCTCAGAGAGCCAATGAAAACACAGATGAGATGCAAATGTAGTAAAATTTAAGGACTCTATAGAGACTTACATGCAGGTCTGCTTATTCCTGAAGATTTTCTCCGGGGAAAAAAGGTTAGTTTTCTAGACTTCTAATCAAATCTTATTTATAACATCTTCAGATTTTATTTTTGAGGTAAACCTAAAATCAGTTTTACCAAAAAACGGAGGGCATTCAAGTGATAGAACAAGAAGCACATAATGTTTTAGCCTCGTCTACACACTACACTATGTTGGTGTCTACAAAAATTAAATGCATGCTTTTATTTTGTGTCGTTGCGTCATTACGACGCTTTTTAGGTCATCAGTAAAAATGAAAGGTCAGTCGCACGAGCTCCCTGAAAAGCATTCTGGGATAGAGTATGTAAACATCAGCCTCAAACCTGTCAGACGAGAGACTAATGCATTTTATACACAATGCAGACTTAAACTGGCTTCTTTTTATGAATCTTGTCTTTTAATACAAACGGGGGGCACTCGACTCGAGTGAATTATCGGGATGTGATCATGTTTTCGAAAAGCGATAGTAACGCTACTTCTATGCAAGTGTCAGAATGCTAGCAGCTAGTTAGCTTGCTGCTGGATCGCATTCATGAGCTCATAGTCGTACAACATTTCAACGGATTCGTCCATTCTTCTTTGGAACCGGTGAGCTGCAGAGACATTCACGCAACACGAGTATTGTTTTGTACACTGTGTTGACACTGACGACACTTGTTTAACGTTAACGTCGGATTAGCGAGCTAGCTAATAAATGCTGCTTGTTAGCTGGCTGTTGTTTCGGATTATAAACGGTAACGCATGTCAATGTATTCATGATTATATTTTCTACACGAGTCTCTGGCTGTCTCACATTATTGACGGTTGCGGTTTTTATATATGTAGAGCCGTCTGCTTAATTTACATTGCACGTCGCCAAATGTTAGGCCACGTCTAAGCTGTTGAAATATGTAGCTTTTGTGATGAGAAATTCAATGTGCGTGGATCTAAACTTTTGAAATGAGTTTTGAGATTTCTGTCATTCCGGTTGCTATTTAGAATAAACGCTTATGTAAACAACAACTACTCGTGTGTAAAGCCACGCCCCTTTAACTTTTCTAAGCACGAGTGTGACAGCCGTAAACAAGATGTCATATTGTATTCTCCATTCATTCATTGTGGAGGAATTATATCTGTAATTATGCACGCGTTTAACTTCAGTGCCTCTCACATCTTGGTTAACTTATATGTTTAATCAGATTGCTTATTTTAAAAGATAATTTGAGGCTTAGTATTCATGTATGTGTTCGCTTATAGCAGAATTACAACAAAGCTGATTGGTTCTTTATGAACAAAATGTTCATTTTATGGAAAAAGATGAACAGTCAGTAGTGACAGTCAGCAGTCATTACTTTTATTCTTACTCTAAGATCTAGTAAAGAAAGAATTTTAGTTCAATTTAGGGCTCTGAGATTTGGAGAAAAATTATTTATTTATTTATTTTTGACTGATATTGCGATTTGATTTACGATTTAATTCAAGCTTCAAGCAGATTTTAATTTAATTCAAACTTTAGCTCAGTAATCCTTTAAAAAGTAACCTGTTTTTGTTTGGTGTCTGTTTTTCTTTGATATTAATTATTCTATTAATGCTTCTGAAGCAGAAGGTGCCATAATCTCACTTGTCAGCGCTTTTCTGTTTGTATTATTTTTTATTATTGTGGGCGTAGTTTAGCTGTGCAATTCTGATTGGGCAGAATGAAAGTGTGCTCACTCAATTGGCTAGTTATAAAGCCCCGGTTAGATCAAACAATTTCGGCCAGATTTCCTTGACGTAGGGTGTCGTGAGGAGTCGTAAATGACAAATGGATGTCGTGACACAACATTCAATAGTTTTTTCTTGTGTAATGGCGTAGTTCACGACAACCGATACCATGTCTGTGATGCCACACGACACTATCGCATAACATCTAGACGGTTTCATTTTCAGAATTGTAGTGGACTGGTTTTGAAGCACTTCACCTCAGATGTTATTCGTTATTTTTGTTTACATATATATTTTATATTGCAGCCTCTTGCGTTTAATTAATCGCAACGTTTCAAATTGCGATTCGATTTTGATTAATCACACAGCCCTAGTTCAATCCCTTCCTAAAATATATTAATTGCTAAAATTTTTAAAACCCTATTTATACTGTAAGGCGCTGTAATTTAAGGAATTTTTATTTTTTTGTGTAAACACATTATCCTCACATAACAAAAACATATACTTTGGTAAAAACATACTTTAAAATAATAAGCTAGCATAATTTTTTATACCATGTTAATTACTTTATAAGGGACACAGTGGCTCAGTGTTTAGCACTGTCACCTCACAGCAAGATGGTCACAGGTTTGAGTCCTGCCTGAGTCAGTTGGCGTTTTTATGTGGAGTTTGCATGTTCTGCCCGTGTTGGCGTGGGTTTCCTCCTGGTGCTCCGCTTTCCCCCACAGTCCAAAAACGTTTGCAATAGGTGAATTGATGAACTAAATTGTCCATAGTGTATGAGTGTGTATGGATGTTTCCCAGTACTTGGTTTCAGTTGGAAGGTCATCCACTGTGGAAAACATATGCTGGATAAGTTGGCGGTTCGCTCCGCTATGACAACCCCTGATGAATAAAGGGACTAAGCTGAAGGAAAATGAAAGAATGAATAAACTAATTACTTTATAACAATTTTGATTTCTTAATCCATATTAGGGTTTCGTATCTTATCATTATGAATTGCCGAAAGATAATTTTTTTTCCCCCTGATATGGAGCAAATTACTTTCCATATCTTTTTCCTTTAAGAAAAAGAAGTACACTAACCAATTTTAGGGGTTTTCACCTTTATTAGGATAGGTCAGTGCAGAATATATGGACAGGAAAGGGGAGTAGCGATAGGGGAAGTGTCGGCAAAGGACTTCCAGCAAGGAAACGAACTCGGGTCGCCGCGAGCACCTCGGTGCTATGTGTTGACGCACCATCCACTAGGCCATTGGTGCCGACATATGCAGCATCCTTAAATTATTCTCTTAGGTAAGAGAATGTGCTTGTGCTTTATGCCTTTTAAAGCTTGAAGCATCAGAATCGGTATTTGGATATCAGCCAATCACCATGTCGGTACTCTGTACCGGCTGCAAAAATCAATTTGTAGCATCCCTAGTTTCAGCTTTCTTCAAAATATCTTTAGAGAAAGACAAAGTTTTAAAGCCTCAAAGTTAATTAAAATGTTTGGATGAACAATCCCTTTAACTTTGCATTTAAACTTTACCGTCCTCAAAAATGCGATTTGTAAAATCTTTTCTTTGCTCTTAAAACATTTTACAGCCCCCAATAGCACCTCTTGGACTCCTTGCGGGTTTCTGTAGGAGCAGGCTCTGAAAACCTCTGGCTTCAAGCACTGACACCTTAAAAATTGGTGGTCATGTTTTTTATCAATATTTCAACCATGTTGTCCAGTTACTGCTGGAGCTATAAATCAGAAACGTGCACGAGCAAAAAGAGTTTTATGGAACTTTTATGGCTTTTTGCTCTCATTTGTCCCAAAAATCTTGTAAAGTCTCTGTCACTGTGGAACACAGCCTACTGTTCTGAGAACCCCAGGTGTTATCTTTCCAAGAATTAACTACATTTTTTAGCTGTTTCTTGGCTTGCTTCATCTCCTTGTTTGATTAGACACTGCAGTTGTAAATGTTTAACAGCGGGAGTCAAGAACCAAAGATGATCCTGGTCTCTTTAAGCCGAGACAGACTCGTTTAGTCATCTGCATAGTTTAGACGTATCTGCCATCACCGTATTAGCTGTCAGCTGGATCCATGCAATGCTATAGCAATTTTCAGCAGATGTTGTTTGAGGGAGTTTGTTTGGGCTTGGAAGAGTTACAAAAACAGGATTCTTCAGCTCTGAATCATTCTAACTATGCGATTGTGCTTTGTGTCATGAGGTCCACTGAAGTGCTGAAAGTGTATAGCCTCGCGTCTTCTGTCTGAATATGTAGATTTGCTAAATCAGCAGTCGGGAAAAAGCATTCCCTGCCAGTCACTTAAGATGGATGATCTATTACTTTGGAGGGCTTTCGGGAAAGAGTTTGGGCTTATGCAGAATAAGACCAGGAAAATAATTGAATCGATTAAACATATACCTGTTGTCAGTTCATTAGTTTTAGCACAAATTCATTTATAATCATGCCATGTTTATTTTGAGTCTATATGGTGTATGCCATATCTTGTACAGTCTTGTTTTTGTTCTCTGATGTCAGTGTGTTACTTCAAGTCTTCACAAGCATTTCAATGGCTAGTTCCCAGTGTAACAAATTTCTTTTCACTGGTAAATATTTAGTTATATGTCATGATGCTTACTTGAAAATTTAAAATGTGCTGTCACTTAATTATAAAACCAATGCAGTTGTTCATTCATTTTCTTGTCGGCTTAGTCCCTTTATTAATCCGGGGTCGCCACAGCGGAATAAACCGCCAACTTATCCAGCAGGTTTTTACGCAGCGGATGCCCTTCCAGCCGCAATCCATATCTAGGAAACATCCACACACACATTCACACACACACACTCATACACTACGGACAACTTAGCCTACCCAATTCGCCTGTACCGCATGTCTTTGGACTGTGGGGGAAACCGGAGCACCCGGAGGAAACCCACACAAACGCAGGGAGAACATGCAAACTCCACACAGAAACGCCAACTGAGCCAGGGATCGACCCAACGACCTTCTTGCTGTGAGGCGAACGTGCTACTCACTGCGCCACTGCGTCGCCCCCAATGCAGGTGTTCCCTTCTTAAAATGTAAATGTACTTTACATGTTTTTATTTTCAGGTACAAATTTATAGTTTTATAATAATTTAAATATCTAGAGAAGGTCTATGTTCTGTGCCCTTTTTACCATGTAAGACAAAGTCATACTTTGTTATAATTATGGCAGAAATCAAAATTATGTGATCTAAAGATTTATATTCATGTTAAATTTATTGCTATGATTTGTAATGTCTTTATTTTGGAATTTTATCAAAATATTTTGGAATTTTATCAAATAATTCAGATTTTTAATGCCTTTTTTTAAGAGTTTTATCAAAAAATTCTGATTTTTAATGCCTTTATTTAGGAATTTTATTAAATAATTCAGATTTTGAATGTCTTTATTTTGAAATTTTATTTAAAAATTCAGATTCCTAATGTCTGTATTTAGGAATATCGTCAAATTATTCTAATTTTTAATGTCTTTATTTAGAAATTTCATCTAATAATTCAGATTTTTAATGTCTTAATTTAGGAATTTTATTAAATAATTTAAATTTTGAATGTGTTTATTTTTAGATTTTATTTGAAATTCATATTCTTAATGTCTTTATTTAGGAATTTCATCAAATAATTCTGATTTTTAATGCCTTTATTTTGAAATTTTATTAAATAATTCAGATTTTTAATGCCTTTATTTTAGAATTTTATTAAATAATTCTGGCTTGGTTTTGGTGCAATATATTTGGATTTTGACGTTTTATGTCACAATTAATATTCATCAAATGTTGTTTTTCTTATAACCATGAATGTAAACATGATGACTATTGGTTATTATTAATATTGGTAAAATGATGTATTTAATTTGTTTTGTTTTTTTCTAGACAGTCCTACTACTGTAAAGGATGGGTGTGAAAACGTTCACACACAACTCCCCCAGCCACAGCCAGGAGCTTCTGGATAAGCTTAACACCCTGCGCAGTGAGGGCCACTTTTGTGACGTCACCATCCGGGTACAGGGCCAGCTGTTCTCAGCCCACAAGGTAGTCCTAGCCTGCTGTAGTGACTTTCTTCGGGCAAAGTTGTCTGGGAAGCCGGCTGAAGAAGACCCTGTAATTGTCGGTGAAGATAACAAACACGTGCTTGATCTCCAACATGTGACGGTTGCTGGTTTCGCTCCTCTTCTGGAATATGCATACACATCTACTCTGTCCATTAGTACGGAGAATATCATCGATGTATTGGCTGCAGCGAGCTACATGCAGATGTTTGCAGTGGCCAACACTTGCTCGGAGTTCATGAAGTCCAGTATCCTGTGGAACGCGGCATCTTCGGGAGCAGGAGCTCCTGGTAGCATCCAACCTCCAGGTTTGCACAGACCCCAAGAACCCCCTGAAGGCCATGCCAGCTGCACCCTTGCCCCTGTAGATGCCCTCTCACCATCTCCGGTTTCATCTGAGTGCAGCGTGCAAGAGCGGCCCATCCCTGTGTGTCGTGAGTCCAGACGCAAACGTAAAGGCTTTGCAAGCCCACAACCAGCATCCTCTACCTCTCCGCAAGTCCCCAACCCCTCGCCCTCTTCTTCTTCCTTCCCAGAGAGCTCAGCACAGGCCCTGGAACCATCCCTAGCCTTCTCCTGGACGTACCCCTTCGGTGTAGACCGCCGGTTTACTCCAGAGAAGTCAAAACTACCTGATGGTCTTCTGGAAACATCTGGAGCGTCAGGTCAAGACTCTAGCGGAAGGGCTCTGGTGGAGTATCTGTCCTGTGAGGGTCCCCGTGGCCTGGGCGTAGGGGGAGCAACGGGTATAGAGGAGGAGGAAGAAGAGGATGTGCAGGTGAAGGTGGAGAGGCTGAGTGATGAAGAAGTTCATGAAGAGGCTTCTCAACCAGTCAGTGCTCCACACAGTTCACTGAGTGACCAGCAGACAGTTCCTGGCAACGAACACAACCAAGAAGATCTACTCATCAGCCCTCAGTCCTCATCGATTGGTATGTCACACCAGCGCTTGCTATATATTTTCTGCAATTATAAAAGTAAAAGCTGCAGTAATGTTCTTCCTTAATAGGAATACATCCAGCTTCAGTCTTGTACCAAATCATTACAATTAGAAAGTGAAAAATGTTTATATGTGGACTGTTTTAGATCTGTCTGGTTGATCTCCATCATTGAGTAGCCCCAGGACTTTTTATATAGGGAATAGTGAGCCAGGGCTAACTATGGGTTGGCGGGAGCCAAGAGCTAGGGCCAGACAAAATCTGTGTGCTAGGGTTGTGACGATACTGGAATTTGGTACCAATCGATACTGGAATGTTAAAATCATCCATTTCTCGCCAACATTTGAGATGAAAAGTCTGCAAAATCACAGAAATGATTGTGATTGGCTGTGAAGGTCATCAGTTCACCACTGTTTACTGAGAGTAACCACAGATACAGAGACACTCGAGCGTTTTAAAGCCATGATTCATCAGCGGATCGCTTTTATGTCAGCTTATAGACAAAGCAGCTGATCTTTGCGACTTCAAAACGCTCAGGTGTCTGGCGGGAAATGGACCTTTTAAATATTTCAGTATCGATTGGTACCAAATTCCAGTATCATAACATTCTTAGCCTGTGCGGTATTCTGCAGAATTTTCAGCAGATTTTCACAGATTTTTGAGCCTGTCATTCAATATATTTACTTATTTAAATGTGTCTTAATTTATACTTATTTATTTATTTATTTATTTTTTATATTTATTTTTATTATATTATTAAATAATTTGCAAAGGTTTAGATGATTTGTGTATGGTACAGTTTGTAAAGTAATATTCACTTATAGTAGATGTATTAGATGAGAGACCAACTGCAGCTTAGTTTAACAAACAAATGGTTCTAATTGGATTTGTATTGTAAAACTTGAATAAAGGTTACAAAACTTTTTTTTAACATAAATTTTAGCTCCTTTACTCTTAAAAAAATCTGCATAAATCTGCAGAAATTTTTATTTTATTTTTTTACAAGAAATCCATCTAATAGCCTTATGGCCTTAAGCAGCAAGACCAAAATTAAGCTGTGTTTTTACTATTGGACCATTAGCTTCGCAATTCTACTGTAAAACCCACTCTTAACATGGGTCCTTAAAGCAAAAGTTATCATTTCACCAGCTCGAGAAAAGTAAACCAAACGAAAAAATCTGAAACCGAAAAAGAAGCAGACAGACCATATAACAGAAGTTCAATCCTTTCACTTAACACTACAGCATCGACTCATCAATATCCATCCAAAATGATCTACCTTCAACCTAGTAAATCATTATTTAACATTAAAGAGAACATACATATTTAGTATGCATAGACAAACCAATCTCTTAGGCCAGTGGTGTCCAAACTTGGTCCTGGAGGGCCATTACAATTAAAATCATAAAGTATGGGTGTTGTGTATAGGGTTGACAGTGTACATACTTAACCTGCATAGTTAATACATGCTTAATATGTACCTTTTTCCTTTCATCAAGAATGACGGACTGGTTATGTGAGTTATAGAAGTTGTCCTGAGAATATGTGATTTAGCAATGTGCAGATTTAGAGGTCAGGTATTAGCAAAGGCACAAAGATAAACAGAAGCAGATGAAATTGGAAAACTTTACAGTGATGTAATTTGTCTTTACTATGTCTCTGTTATTTTCATAAGCATATTGTTTTACACTAGTTTTTAGTATAAGTGTCTTTTAGTATCACATATAAATCTCGAAATGTTTCTGCTTTGCATGGTGGTCAGAATCCCCAATGGATCAAACTTGGGAGTTATTTAATATTTTGATGTTAGCTGGTATTCTGAAAACATAATACAGAGGTTATCACACCTCCAGCCAAAACTTGAATTAATAAATACTTTTTATTCATCAAAATGTCCTGGAGATTTCTTTTATAATTATGATAATAAAAATATAAAGAAGACAACAAGCAACAAGAGTATTTTTATTGTTAGATGGGATTAGGTTATAAATGGACATACTTTCTAGTCTAATTAGCTTTTTTTTAACTGCTATTTATCAGATTGCTTTGATTTCAATTATTTCATGCACATTTTTGTCTGAGACAGGCCTCTAATCTGTTACACATAAAGTAGATAACAAAATATAAAGACACTGTTTTACAGTCGAAATGGTTTAAAAACAACATTCTACTCTTTCCTTAGGCTCCATGGATGAGGGGGTGACAGAGGGTCTTCAGTCCATGCAGGGCACTCCAAACACTACTGGTCACATGGAGGAGGATGAGAGGTATGACTCCTTTGGGTGTCTGTGTTGTTTTTACAGAGTGCTTTTACGACGTCTCACTTTTATGATTAAAATAAAGGGCCCCTCTGAGTAGGGACATCAGTCTTCTCATCATCGTCTTTCCTCTTGTATACTTATAAGCAGCAAAGGCTTCTGTGATATTGTAGTGGCTATTAGGATGTGGAGTTACTGCCAAGAGGCCAGAGAAGCTGGTTGGCAAGCTTTCTGGAAACTTCTTGGACCTGAATTTGCCTGTTGGAATACTGGAAGAGTAGGGAAATGGTATGATGCAAAACAAATGGGATAAAAAAGACACTGCTGTCCATCTCAGGAGTGGAGTCTGCTTTATATGACAACTCGATATGCCTGACTAAACGTGTGTTATATGTTAGCCTAGGACTTTTGTGTGGTAATCTGTGAATCTGCAGACAGGAGCATGAACGCAACTCAAAGAAAATACTCAATACACAGCGTGACTCTTTTCTTTGGATTCTCACCTAAGTGTACATGTAAAGGGAGCATAAAATGAAGTTAAATGATTTTTGAAGATGATTTTTCATTCCTCAAAGCTGACATCCCTTTTTAAAATGGCTTTTTTTTGTTTTTTCACCCTTCTGAAATGGCATTATGCCCCTTAAAATTGAATCAAGGGATGAGCTAACAGATGATGTTTAACCATCAGTCACAATAGATTAGTTTGTTTATTATTCACAGCATTATTCCAACTATTCTTCAGCTTAGTTCATGATTTGTCAGGGGTCGCCACAGCAGAATGAACCGCCAGTTACTCTGGCATATGTTTATTGAAACACCCACACACGCTCTCATCACACACACACACTCGTACACTATGGCCAATATTTGTTTTAGCCAATTCACCTATAGCGCGTGTCTGTGCGTGAAACCGGAGCATAACCCAGAGGAAACCCACGCAAACACGGGGAGAACATGCAAATTCCATATTTAAATGCTTCCTGGCCCTGCCAAAACTCGAACTTGAGACATTCTTGCTGTCAGGCAACAGTGCTTATCACTGAGCCACCTTTTCAGCATTATGTTATTCATTCATTCATTCATTCATTTTCATCTGCTTTTCCGGGGCCTGGTCGTGGGGGCAGCAATCTTAGGAGAGAACCCTAGACTTCCCTTTCCCCAGACACTTCCTCAAGCTTCTTGGGGGGGATCCCACGGTGTTCCTAGGTCAGCCAAGACACATAGCCTCCTCCCAGTGGGAAAAACCTGGAACAGCTACCTAGGTAGGTATCCAGGCAGCATGAACCTCCTCTATGATCTGCCACTCCTTCATAAACCGCTACCTTATCGTGGAGGAGGGGTTTGAGTGCCAGAGTGATTCTAAGGGCTATGTTGTCGGTAGGGTAGGGTCTCCCATGGAAAAAAGGTCTTAGGTTACAGGTCAGACTAAGTGCGATACAAAAACCTCTTATGAGCACAATAACAGCAAGGAGCGTGACATCGCCTGGTGTGGTGCAGCAAGGACCCCACCCTGGAGCAATTTGGCAAGGTTTTATCCCATGGATAAATGGTTTTTATCCCACCAATGGAGCAACGTGGGACCATCCTCCTGCAGGAGGAACTGTGAGGGACTGGTGCATTGTAGAACGGGTGATGGTCGAAGGTTAGGGCCAACAACCCAATCATCGGGCACAGAAACTAGCATTATGTTAATGTTAGCATAACAATTTGTATTGAAAAACACTTTTTGTTCCTTTTCATTAATTACTAAGAGTCAGTGTGCAATTGGCTTATCCATCTAATTAGTGTGCCTTGTTGTTGCTCTGTCTCCAGGCTAGAGAATGTCCAGTATCCATACCACCTGTACATCAGCCCTTCAACTCGCCCTGGACTCAATGGTCCTGAACGGCCCTTCCAGTGCCCTACATGTGGCGTCCGATTCACTCGAATACAGAATCTAAAACAGCACATGCTCATCCACTCTGGTAAGATAGCCTCTGCTATTACAGCACAGCACACTGATGTTAATGTGTAGAGAACTTCTTCAGTTGCCTTTTGTAATGGTATCTCAAGTATAAAAACACTATAATATAGTCTCTAACAATCTAATTGTTACTGTCTTGGCAATCAGTTTACATTTACAATCAATTAGCAACCTCTGAGCTCACATCAGGTCAGTCTTCAAAGGTTTATCAGTTTTTGCTCAAAATTAATAAAGCTTTTATTTCATCTCAACTCTTATGTACATGCAGTTCACACATGACCTTTGAATTATTTTGCATAAAAGGTCTCCACACTAAGTTGGGCAGTTGTTTGACTGTCGGAAAAGAAACTGAGAAGCCAGAAAAAAAGAAAAATTTTAACTACTAAAACTTAAGAAACTACCGAAAAATGGCAAAAACAATAGGCACAAACACTATATTGCCAAACGTTTTGGGACATCTGCCTTTACGTGCACATCCACTTTAATGATATCCCAATCTCAGTCTGTAGGGTATAATATGAAGTTGGCCACCCTTTATAGCTGTAACTGCTTCAACTCTTCTGGGAAGACTTTCCGGAGGGTTTAGGAGTGTTTATGGGAATTCTTGACCATTCTTCTAGAAGCACATTTGTGAGGTCAGGCACTGATGTTGGACGAGAATGTCTGGCTCTCGGTTTCTGCTCTAATTCATCCCAAAGGTGTTCAGTTGGGTTGAGGTCTTGAGGGAGCTGACTTTGTGAAGACCAGTCATGCCTGGACAAAGTCCAAACTCTTAATACAAAGTAGGGCTGGATGATAAAATTGGTATCGGTATTTATTGACCGAAGACAGTGTACAATATTAATTTTAAAAGTTTGGTATGAAGTGCTATAGTTTTATTAAAATGTGGCTGCTGAGTACGTGCCTCGGAAGCAATGCCAGTAAGCTTAGGGTATAGGTTTGACATTTCCAATGAAGGAGCGCGACTTGCTCGACGTGCATATGTGAGTGACTCGCACATGTTGTGCAAAAGTTATTTAAATTTTTGTTAGAAAATATTCAATAATTATCAATACCGAATGATATTAAACGATATTGTGCTATTTGTTTTTCAATATTGCCCAGCGCTTATAGAAAGCCCACATTGCAATCCCCTATACTAAACTTTACATTTAGCACAATGCAGTCAGACAAGTACATTTATCTGGCAACTGTCAAACCAAGATTCATCTATCTGATTGGCTGTCAGAGATGTGTGATTTGTCACTCAAGGGAACACATCACCTGCTCTAGAGTCTAGTAGTGGTGGGCTTTACACCACTGCATTTGACACTTTGCATTGCATTTGGTGATGTAAGGCTTGGATGCAGCTGCTGATCAATGGAAACCCGTTCCATGAAGCTCTCCATGCACTGTTTTTGGACTTATCTGAAGGCCACATTTATACTCTGCAGAGAGTTGGTGAGAAGTCGCACTGCACCCCAGGACACGCTGATGCAATTTAACATGACCCTCTGTGATTCTACACATGCTGCTGTTTTTGCTTCCACTATTATATTTAGTAGTGAGAACGTTTCACAAATGGACTTGGAATTGCACAGGTGGCAACCTAGCATGGTACCACACTTGAATTCATTTAGCTCCTGAGAGTGACCCATTCTTTCACAAATGCTTTTAGAAGCAGTCTTTAGAGCCAAGGTGATGGAAGTGATTGGAAATCCCGAATTCAATTATTTTGAGGGGTGTCCCAAAACGTTTGGCAAGATACTGTATGTGTGACTTAGCACATGTGAGGGATTTAATAATACTCTCTATTTTAAATGAGACATTTTTATTGCTTGACTTTTTGCAGACATGGAACACCGATGAATCTTTCTAGTGGGGATTTGTAAAGCTCTTGCATTCATGCATGCTATACTTTGAAAGGCTGTGTTTGACAGTGTGTGCCATGTACATAAAAGAATTAGGCAGTTATATACTTTAATATTCTGAGCCTTTATTGTTTAAACGTTTTAGGACAGCTTAGGATTGTTCAGTAGTTAAGCTTTAAAACATCCTAAAATGGGGTCTTGTATTGCAAAGAAGAGTATAACATGATTCTCCCTAATCTGCATGTTAGTTTAAACAGAGCTGACATTTGTTTGCTGTCGATTGTCCAAACAGAACTTCTCATCGCAGCTGGACTGATGAAAACCATTGTAGGCAGTCGGTTTAGTTGTGGCTTATGTGAATAACAAACATTGCTGGAGATTCTATGGTGCCGATTTGGATTAGTCAATTAACTTAAGTTGCACGTTTTTGGACGGTGGGAGAAAACCGGGGAAACACACATGAGCACGGGGAGAATTTGTAAACTCCGCACAGAAATGTCGACTGGCTTGGTAAGGACTAGAACAAGTGACGTTTTTGCTGTGAGGCAACAGTGCTAACCAGCTAGGAAAGGTGGAGGAGTAGGGGTGGAAAGGGGGATTCCTTTTCAAACGAAGCTGGCTGTGATATAGAACTTAGGGTGTTTATAGTGGCTTAGGACTCGTCTGATTGGTGAATCATAAATTGGATAATGCAGAACCAGCCGCAAGCAATCATAAGCATGTGATTCTCTCGAATCATCTTCTTTATTTACTAATTATCTCCTTTTTTCTGGCTCTGTTTGATTGACTGCTGTTTTGTGTCTTCCCAATATACAGGCATTAAGCCATTCCAGTGTGACCGATGTGGGAAAAAGTTTACGCGGGCTTACTCTCTGAAGATGCACCGGCTGAAGCACGAAGGTAAACGATGTTTCCGGTGCCAGATCTGTAGCGCCACTTTCACTTCCTTCGGTGAATATAAGCACCACATGAGGGTGTCTCGCCACATCATCCGCAAGCCTCGGATTTACGAGTGCAAAACGTGCGGCGCCATGTTTACCAACTCCGGCAATTTAATCGTACACCTGAGGAGTCTCAACCATGAGGCGTCAGAACTAGCAAACTACTTCCAGACCAGGTGAGGAGGAGCTGAACATTTTAAGAAAATATGTAGAAGTTCAAATTTAGTCTTGTACGGTCGGCCGCTAATCTCATGTTAAGGTAGCTGACTCGTTTTTTTTTATTATATTACTTTGGGGAGAAATGATCAATCTGTATAACTGTAGCAATATGTGTATAAGTAAAACAGGTGGTGATAAGTTTATTAGTTTTTGCAGTAGGTGTCATGAACTAGAAATGAACAAGATTTTTTACAGTAGTTATTAATATTGGTGTTATTTTCATATTTAAAAAGTAAGTTAAGAAGATTCGTACTTTATTTTGAAAAAGTACTGCTGACCAATTTTAATGAAAGTACTGTAATTGTGAAAATATACTAAAATATATATTGTGAAATATACTAAAATAAATGGTTTTATTTTATTTTTAAATGTAAATGTATTTATTATCATTTTTAAACTATAATATTATTATCTTAAATAGTTAATTTATTCGTCGTTTTATTTAATATTTTTGGGATTTAAAGATGTTTTTCTTTATCATACAACAGTTTTCAGTGTCATGGTCATTCAGAAATCACTATTATAACATGATGAAAGAAATTAACAATAAATCATTGCTCCCTGTTAGTTTCTGATAATGAATGCATTAGCTCAGTGGTTCTCAAACTGTGGTACTAGTGGTACGCGTGCTTCATTCTAGTGGTACACGGAAGAATCAATGAATAATAAAAGAATAAAATGCACACGCTTTTAACCATTTGATGCATATGAAAACACTGAGACTCATGTGATCAGACAGCATTGGCTGTTCCTTGAAGCGTACGATTACACCGGTGTGCTTAAGCCTGGTTTACACTTCTGTGTCAAGTGACCGGCGTAACCCACGACGCATGCAACGCGCGTAGCTGTGCATTTATACTTCTGCGCGCTGTCTCTGTTGGTCTGCATTAACAGGAACCGGCGGACGTGCAACAACTTTAACTATGAGGTAAGAACAAAACAAAACTTTCCATCCGGAGCTTCTTCACAGGACTCCACACTTGTAAACAATCGCTCCATCGGGGTCGCACCATTCGCACGGCTCTCGGTCCCGCCCACACTCATCAGTGCTACCAAGCCGACCAATCACAGAGCTTGCGCTATGCGTCGTTGCGTCGTATTTTTTGAGAGGTGCACGTCAGTGACGGCCACGGCGTAGGGCTATGCGTCAACGCTGTAGCATACGCGTGCATTTGACGCAGAAGTATAAATCAGCCTTTAGAATGTTTACTTTAGTGCATCGCGTCTTCAGATGTTAAAGGGCCACGAAACCCCCTGTTTCAGCAGGGTGTTTTCACACCTCTAGTTTGGAAAAAGTCAGGAAAGTGAGCGTATCCAGCTCTGTTTAGGGGGGATTGTCGTAGTAGGAAAAGAAGGAAGGTGCATAAAAATGGGAGTTTCGGTTTGGGCATGCGCTGATTTTCACAGAGGCAAAACAAACACACAGACGCAGGGCAGAAAGACGATTAATGTGTTTACATGGACATCAGTAATCGAATTATTTGCCAAATTATTAAATGGTGGACTTTAACTGCAGTTTGGCTCTTTCATTCAGGAATTTCATTTATGGCCCTCGTGACAAACGAGATATTTGATTCGAGGAATTGCTGGAAGTATGTATTTTTAATGCAATGATTGATACCGCATGGCAAATGAGAGAAAAATACCTCCGCATTTCTCGGTAACCTAGATGCACTTGGTACGTAGTGTCAGAAAGCCGTGTGTGTTATTCCTGTCACAAAATGCAGCGTACATCCTACAAGACGGTAATAGTTTTATTGTGGTGTTTACATTCGGAGAGCTGCATTTACAGCGGATCTTTGAGTTCATAATAATGTAGTGTAATTAACTAACTGTATACTTTAGTAACTTAAAAGTCATTTGATTAAGGTCTGTCTTTAAACACTGAAAGAGTACTGCTGACGATACGAACGAACTTTGCCTCTGAATAAACAAACAAAGACCTCTGATTGCTTGCTTACCAAATCTGTAGAGACCGGACAATCAACACCAACTGGAGCTGCGTGTTTATCAAAAGGAGACGAGCATTTTCTCATTTCCAGATGAGGAATGCTCTCGGGTAAAAAAATTTCCTTAGACACGTATTTTTGTTGCGTGCACTGTAATCTACACGTGAGTCCAGCTGCTCTCTCATAGCGGGAAAATGAAAACAAAACCTTTTTTGTAGCACATTTATGAACACAACACTGACGACCTGTGTCTCCAAACAATTCTTTTTCTCCCACTTGTTTTGGCAACACAACGTGGCGTCTCTCTGCTGTCTGAACACTGTACAGGTAAAAACAGTCTTTGAAGCTATCGTGCATATTAATAAAGTTGCACCGCATACACATTAGAGCTCGCTGATTGGTTTTAACCAAGTCTTTCTCATGAATTATTGCTGCTCACTCAGAGACATCACTAAGTACTCCTAGGTACAGACAGCCAGTCTGCACGCTGGAATATACACAAGGATCTAATCGGCGTGACGCAGCTTCAAAAATTTGTTTCAAACCGGAAGAACAAATTTGCTTCAAATAACGCAAAAACAACAAATTTTCACTTTTTTGTGACATATATGTGTCCCAATAGTGTTTTTAGCAGTGTGGGACACATATGACTGTCAACAGCTCAAAAAATGTGTTTTGGTGTTTCGTGACCCTTTAAAAATCAATTTGCTTGACGCAGAGCCACAGGAGCACTAGAGAAGCACTAGAGAAGCCCTTCTGCATACCAGTCCTGTTGTGTTGGCATTTCAGTTACTGCAAACTCAGTAAATTCCCTATACTGCATCATTAGTAAAATAATTATTACAAATGTGTTAAATGTGTGCTTGTAGTTATGTAAAACAATGCGCGTTTTCCATATAAAAAAAGTTATTTATTTTGTAAAGTAGCGTGGCTTTCAGTTTAGTTTGTTACCTTAGATTTAGGCTAATTAATTTGAATGTGATTCAAATGGCGCGAGACACAGAACATACACTCAATGCCATTCTTGAAGCTTAGAGGTAGAATATAATTAAAGTTAGTCTCCGTGTGCACAGACGGAGGACCCACAAACTGTACCAGAGTCTGTTTGAAAACAGTGGTCAGTGTGCAGTTAACGGGAACTTCAGTTTACTTAAGATGACATCTCATTCGCACCAAATCACGGAAATACAGCACGTATGAATTGGTCAAGCAGTGTATTCATGCATTTATTCTGACACACATAGGTCTACTGTAAATGACGAGCAGCAGATCTAATTTTAAATGTAAATATGTAATTCCAAATCATAAATTTAAAATGCAAGTTAATGTTTAGATTTCAAGGATATACACATATATCATTTGTACATGCAGCTTATATTTCAAAATGTGTAAAACAATGTATATATGTATGACATAAAGCCTATATTCATCAGGTACAAGCAACATTTCCAGGTTTTGATGAATAGGCTACTATACAGTAATATTTTACAAGTAATGTTTTTGTCTGCAAGCAAAATGTTCAAACTGTTTATAATGTTTAAAGTGGCTGACAATAATACATATTCGTAATAATCGGAATTAATCTGCCTCATTTTTAACTGTGCAGTGCAGTAGCTGCTTAATTAGGCATACTAGGCTACTGTATTTCAATACTGGTCATTATGATGTTACATGGAGAGAAATGTTGGTGAAAAAACGTTTGAGAACCACTGCATTAATGTAAAGCAACTTTATTGTAACATATTACTGATGAAACCTTGTATATTTTCAAAAACAGCTGATGATGAAAGCTTTTTCTGCTTCTGCTGTGATTGACAAAATGCATCCATCAGATGAAATGTCTTTCCTGCTTTGCCACAGTCAAGGGCAATCCCTGGTTGTTTTGTGCAGTATTTGGCACAAATTTACAAACTGAATAGAGCTCTCAGGAAATCGCTGAAATCTCCACTATTGACTGTCCTGATCGGTATTATGACAGATGTAGTGTTTATTTGTTTCTCAATACCTTTAACACATGGGCGCGCACACCATGTTCTTTCCTGTTTGAAAACAATTTTTTTTTTATAAATGGAAAAATAATGACTTTAATTCCGTTTTGGAAGTAGCAAGCGTTGGACTGTGCATTTGGAAAAGAAGCAGTGAGATGTAAACAGTTGGACATGCAAGGAAATCATTCCAGTGTCAGCTAATTACCGCTGAATAGTGAAACTTTCAGTTGAATTACTGTCTATAATTTAGAGGAGACATTCTGTTGAGGTAATCTTCCTGACTTTAGACACTCATTTAGGCAGAGGAAAGGGTGTCAGGTGCCTTTTTGCATTGAGCTCTTGCTACACATAGACTCGCTTATTTCATCCAACTGTTTATTTTATTTAAGCCCCCTCGCTCTCTCTTAGGATCTCTACTCATTTTTGTCAGGCTCTAATAAATGGTGCCTATGCAAGCAAGAGTGCTGAGGCAATAGTTTGGCTCTCGTATGCTAATTAAAGGGACAAGTCACACAAAAATTTCAAATTCAGCCGTCATTTACTCACTCTCCACTTTTATTATTTTATTTCTTTTATCAGCTGAAAAAAAAAAAGTATAATGGTAACCATTGACCTCCATAGTATTTTTTACTGATGAAAGGACTATGACTCAAATGCAGAACTAAAATGGGTATATAATAAATATAACATAAAACAAAAAGAAAACAAAAACAACCCTGATGGGGGAAAACTTAACTAGAAAGACAAACTAGACTGGATTGGGCTGAGCTGGCAAGGAACAGGACAGAAAGAACGATGACGAAACTGGCACAGGACAGCAGATGTGAGGAGACTATAAAGGAGGAATAATTGACAAACAAACAGGTGAACATAATAAACTAATAATGGGTTAAAAATGAGGGTGGGACTAGACAGTAGACCGGAGCTTTTGACACAAAGAAACAACACAAGCCATGTGCTCACGTAAAAAACAGGACTAGAACACACAGCCAATGAAAGAACTCATTAACCGCATGTTTACATGAATCACAACACTAAAGCATGTGGCGCTTGTAAACATGAATCGCATACTAAGCACAACACCAACACAAACAGAACACAAGCACGAGTACACGATAAATGAAAACGCTTACCATGCACTCAAACAAGACATCCGATCCCAGCGCCAACCAAAACCGACTAGACTGGATCGCTGAGAACCAAAACACCATGCTGCAAACAAAACAACAAACACCAGGATGAGAGCGTGCAATCATGCACACGCCCGGCCCAAGCACAGCCAAGATGTCGCACATACAATGACAAGGCAGACAATGACGAGAAATACGAGTGCTCGACCTGAGCAAACTCGAGCTAAGGACAACATACTAGACAAGACAAGACTAGTGTCCGGACTCCTAAACACCAAAACAAGGATTAACAAGACCAAAGTGGCAGAATCCTTACAGTGGAAGTCAGTGGTTACCATCAACGTTTAGGTTACCAGCATTCTTCAAAATATCTTTGGGGTGAACTAGAGATTTAAAGGGTTTTATCGTCTATCAATGTTAAGTTGTATTGCATTTAATTACATTGACGAGTCTGCATTTATCCATAGTTTGGGATTTTGATGATAAAGTAAGTTTATTTTATTGGCAATCAAGAACAATTTGTATTAAATTGGACCAATTAGGTGTCTAAAATAAAATTTTAGATCATTTTAGTCAGTAAATACATAAAAAAAATAAACCTGTCAGTATTTTACTTGTCATGTTTGTGCAAAGAACTTTTGAAGTCATCGTGTCAAGAGTGAAAGGACTTGCATTAAAGAAATAGGAAATTATGTCATTACTATCTAAATCCTATTGACGGATTGAGCTATTGGTGTTTAAATTGTGAATGCTTGTTAAATCCCTTTTTCTGCCAAGCCACAATCCTCAATCAAGCTTCAGATGTTGACTTTTGTTTAGATAGCTGTAATGTTTTGCCAAAGGACATTTTGCCAAAGCTTATTGTTAGACTTAAACATGCTAGGACTGGCTGTTCATGAAAAGGAAAAACAAAATCCAATAAAATCTTACACTCGTATACCAAACTTGGATCACTATCTTGGATGAATCAGATGAACTTTTCTTTTTTGACAAATTGCTTTGTTTTGAACTTGCGTCTGAATGGTTTGACATCCTCTGATTGTGGCTTCACAGAAGGAGACTGAAAGCTGAAATCTTTATTTTCTATATTTTGAAGTTTACCTTGCTAACAAAAAGGTATTGAAGGTACTGAGTTTATGAAAGATAAATGTACAGTTTTTTAACCTAGTCTGCTTTGCCTTATGTTAGATTTTTCTGAACACAGGCCCTTCTCTCTTTCTCATTTTTCATTTCCTAGTGAGTTCCTCCTCCCAGACTACCTGAGTCACATGCAAGAGGAAGAGGGGCTCGGACACTTTGAGATAAGTGAGCAGACCTTTGAAGCTTCTTCCTCCTCTTCCTCAGTCCAAACGCCAGTTATCTCTCAAGTTTCCTCTACCATGAACTATGACACCCACACTTCAGCACCTCCTTCCCAAACCCCAAACCCCAGATCAGGGAATGGAGGCGAGGACGCAGCAGGGGACCTCCAGAAGCCCACCACTGCTGTCACCTCTCTGCAAGACCCAGAGGAGGACGTGGGAGAGAAGGAGAGAGGGGCAAGAAAGAAGAAGAAGAGACTTGTGCCAATTACTATTGAGTGAAAACGTTCCATGTGTGTGAACACGTATAATGACAGTCGGTGTGCTGTTGCACACTCAGTACTTCTGTTACGATATCAATCATGGAAAATGGAAAATTATCGTTATAAAAATCTTTTTTTTTTAAATTTGTTGGGGTTACTTTTAAGATCATCTGATATGGATTAGGATGTGCATCATAACATTGCAGAGAAAACCACACGAGGATCACATGTTCAGGCCCGTAGCCAGCCTGGTGAAAGGGGAGGTTCTTTTTTTTTTTTTTTATATGGACCTTTTTGCAGTTATTAGCCTCATTTTCTATTTAATTTTTAGGTTTAATTACCTTTTAAGCACTATTTTGTTTGTTGGATTAGCTTGTCAGATGGTCATCACCCACATTTTTCGATGTACCAAAAACATTTCCTAAAGATTTGGAAGAAAAAATATGAGAATAATACTTATTTTTCAAATACAAATTTATTACATCACATACAGTTAAAGTCAGAATTATTAGACCCCCTTTAATTTTTTTATAGTTTTTTTTTTTATATTTCTCATATGATGTTCAAGGGCATTTTCACAGTATGTCTGATAATATTTTTATTTCTGGAAAAAATCTTATTTGTTTTATTTATTTTTTTTTTTAGAATAAAAGCAGTTTTTAGTTTTTTAAAAGCCATTTTAAGGTCAAAATTAATAGCCCCTTTAAGCTATATAAAGCTTATATAGCTTAAAGGGGGGGATTTATGGGGAGTCTAATAATTCAAGGTGGCTAATAATTCTAACTTCAACTGTATCATTAGAAAAAAGGATGCTCTTCAAGTTTTAAATTAAAAAACTAGCCTATTGACATTTATTACACAAACACAACCTGGCCAGCATATTCAACTTTCCTGTCACTCTGAAACAACAGCCAAAAGAGGATTCTGCTTGGTCTTAAAGCCTTTTTTGATGGTTATTTTTAAAATGTATTATGGCATAGCAGTCCCCCCACACCCCACCCCACTCCGCGGCTACTGGCCTGAGTTAAAGTTATAAGTAAAGCACACACAGAACATGTTTCAGAACATTTTCACGTGATAAAACATGGTCACATTTTTAATTTGCATGAAAATGTTTTAAATACATGTTTGGTGTGTGTGTGATTTTTGTTTAACATGTAAACCTCATGTATTTTTCTCTGAAAGAGCAGTTCAAAGTTTAGTCATTTTATTTTCCTAGGGGCCGATCACACCAAACGCGCTAGAACGGCTAGTTTTTAAAGTAACTTCTAATGGAGAATGGCTGATAGCATAAGTGTCTGCGCCTCAATGTGCATAGACTTACTGTCCATCCTAAATTATTTAATATTACAAATGTTTCATACCATTTAGATCAGAAAAGTGGATATGCAGGGATATCGATGGTTCAGACGAGTCATTCATATCGGTGATTCATTCACTAACGAATCACTCCCTACGTTAGAATTAAAACTGAAAGCAGGAGCGGGGGGCAGTTGCAGGACATGGATTATAAACGGGTCGGGTGGATAATACATTTCCATGCACACAAACACACGCTCTGGGTCAGCAATGCTTGTGCGGTCACTTATCCTTCAATGTAGAAAAGTGATGTAAAATTATAGTTTTTGTCATTTAAAAAAATATTTGCATACTGACCACCGGGAAAGCTCCAGATTATAGATCTATGCATATATGTTTACATATCTATGGCTTTAGATTACCACAGTCCTCCACTACATCTTGGTCCCACATTCATTTCAAAGGAGCGCTACCCTGTACTAAAATGGCAGCTCTATTGATGCTTTTCTTCCTATTGACAACGACAGCACAGGCGAATTCGAATTAAAAATTTTTATGTGCACTCACAGTTGAAATAACGTCAACTTTGAGTGAAAAAAACGTGCTACGTCAGTCGTGTCTCCCACGGCGGTTTCCATTGAGGTGACTGCCTTGTTTAAAGATGGAGGAAAGACTGGTGGTCGCTGTTTTGAGTTATCCGGTGCCGTATGACTCACAAATGTTGAGTTTCACAATATTATTAAATATTAAAGTTTAACCAATATCGACAGTAACACTCGCGCACAATACCCAGCTGATTCAGTCGTTGACTATCGACTTAAAAGGTGATACTTTTTTTTTTTACACTAAAGTGTTGTGTGCCTCGCGTTTTTGGAACGTAAAAGTGCGTTTGGTGTGATCGGCCCCTTAAATTGTTTTATTAGTAACCCGTTAATATCTGTGACTAATTAGTTCTATGAAAGCACATTTTCTTAATTTAATGATGTTTGTTATTATATAATATTTGTTGATTTTATTTGGTCGATTTGTATCATTTTTAACTGTTTTGTTTGTTGTGTTGTGTTAAACTGATGATCTGTTATCACGTGATTTTTATTTCCCTTTATTTTATTTCTGCGCCATAACTATAGCAAACTGCCCCTTCTGACTGTAAACAAACCTATTACAAACAGAGATTCTTCAACCCTCTGAGGGCCGTTCCTAAAAATGTGAAAGACTGCATTAATACTTCCATGGGTGTTCAAAGCGCAAACAAAACACTGAACTTAACTGGCACTAAACGCCCATGTTAATGGGTTGCTGTGCTTTGATTGAGTGTACATGTGAAGAGTAGCCCTGTATTCCATGCCCTCTTTTCTGCTGTACGTGTAATGCTGCTAAATTTTGTAAACTGTGCCTCTTGCCCAGCTCTCCAATTGAACCACTCGTCAATTCGATCTAAAGAGCTGTTATGTGAATCGTTTCGGTTTAGAGTTCTTCTTTTGATTGTGGCATATGGAAGAAATGTCCACTTTTTAATATTGTGAAAGGTGATGTTTCCAAAGCCTTTCCCGTGTTATTTGCTGTTGGAATCAACTCAACTTGATGCCATAGTTGTATGTGCCTAACAGTCTCCCAAACACCTTGTGACTATGGCATGAGTCTTGATTTGAAGATGTAACATGACTGCAGCTTTGGAATATGTAGCATTTGTTTGGTTTGGTGGTTGATGGCGTATTTCGCGTACGACTCTGTGTAATATTGCACCTGGCAATCAGTCTCGAAGCTGCTCCATTCCAATATGATTTTGTAGGGAACAAACGCGTTTTAATAGGCTTTGTGCAATATCGTTTTGGATGAGTCACGTGCTCCAAGATGAAAACCTTTTCTATTGCTGTGGACAATGAGATGAATGATGATGACGACATAACGGATGGGGGCTAGTCGAGGGAATGAGCTAAAGCATGTGCCCTTCCATAACAACAACAACAACAACAGATAGCGAAAGAAATCCAATTGCATTACAAAAACTAGGTTGCGGTATCATTCTCTGATGTCATTTCCCTCGAGACGGTCTCCCGCTTATCTCACTCTCTCCATTTTTGCGACCGCGGGCTGTAGCTCAAACTCAATTACTTCATAGTCTGAGAGTTTGTATTGACGCATTCATCCATAAGACAATATTGGCTGTCTGTCCCAGATTGCTCTTTGTGCTGCTTGCATGTTTTCCGTGCAAAAAGAAAAATGGGGGAAAAAATCAATATAGCATGGTTGATTCGTTTGTTGGATGTCGTTTCAGATATGTGCAACTACCATTTCGTATACAATATTCAATCTTTGGTGTTCAGTTGTTTGAGCAGAAAGAAAACGTGATATTTCAGTAGTCATGATGCTTTTTTTTCTTCCCAGATTCTGTATTGATGAGAGTTACCTTAAGAAGTGTCAATTTGTACATTTGTAATATCAATGTGAGTGTGAGTAGTTCTTTGACTTGAGCCTTGTAGTGTTCGCTTTTGTGACCATGTCTTATTGAAATACATGAATATATATATATACTCTATATTCTTTTTTTAAAGCCTATAGTTTTAGTCGTATCTTGTGCCTTTGGATATTGGATCTGTATTGTATTTTACTTGGCATACACATGCGTTGATATGAATTCATAATGTTTTGTAGACAGAATGCTGGTAGACTTCAAATGTAGCTTGAAACTAAAAATATTTTTGAAGTGCTATTTGACACATGGTTTAAACTGTATGTTTTTGTGTTTATTTTCATAAAAAAACAAGTGTATTGGTCGTTTTGTATCTCTTTAGTGCTTCTTATCATCCGTTTCTGTGCCAATTCAGATTTATTGAATGATGTTTTGTAAAAACATTACGTACATAAAGATTTACAGTAAATGGTTACAGCCTAACACTCCCAAGTTTGCTTCCGTTCTTATTGCTAAATCTGGATTTTGAACTCGTTGCACAATATGTAGATTTCCTGAAGAAAATTTCATTTCTTTCATTTGATTTGATTTATTTCGAACAGGAAAAATCCTACACAAAACAATTCTATAAACAAAATACATTTTAACATAGTTGAAATGGTGTGGGATGAAGCACAAGCTTATTCATTTCCCCACCCCATTATCACGCACATCATTCCTTTATTACTTTAACTTATTTCTTATTTTACTCTTTTTCTTTTTTTTTCTTCTTTTTTTTACAGGAGACATATGTTATCCCTTTTTCAATTCAATTCAATTCAGCTTTATTTGTATAGCACTTATACAATGTAGATTGTGTTAAAGCAGCTTCACATAAATGGTCATAGTAACTGGATCAGGGTGGTTCAGTTTTTAGTGTTTAAGTTCAGTTCAGTTTAGCTCAGTTCAGTGTGGTTTGAAATCATTACTGAGAGTCCAAACACTGAAGGGCAAATTCATCTTCTCTTTTGGCATCTTTGACATATTACATGTTTGTATCCATTTGTACATTTACGTTTTATAACATTGACCCAAAAATACATAGTATTGCAAACAGTCATTAATTTAGATTTCATCAAACCTTTCACATTTTGTTCTTTTTCAATCACCTCTTTTTATCATTATATTCCTTTAATAATATATATTTATACAACTGACATCCTGACATTGTTTGAGAATCTGTTCTAGACTGTTCCATAATTTCACAACACATACAGACACACTTTTTTTTTTTTTTAAGTTGTCCTTGTTTTCAACCTCCTAAGATTTTGTTCTTCTCTCAGATTATATCCCCCTTGTCTTTCTTCAAAAAAAAACCTTTGTGTGCATTTTGGAAGACACTTATTCCTAGCTTTTAACATAATTTGTGCTGTTTTAAATTTGCATACCTATATTTTTAGGGGCTTTCACCTTTATTTTATAGATTAGTGGAGATGTGATGAATACATAGAGAGCAGAGAGAGGGGGGAAGGATTGGTAAAGGACCTCGAGCCGAGTATCGAACTTAGGTCAAGTGCTATATGTCGGCGCACTTTACCACTAGACTATGGGCGTCGACTGTAAATTATTAAACTTAAGTATTTGTACTACTAAATGGTCACTCTGGTTTATGTACTTACTGAATGCTTAATAATAAACACTCCACCAGGGGAGGCCAATCCTGTTCCTGGAGATCTACCTTCCTGCAGATTTCAGTT